AATGTAACCATAGAGCTTGTTGTAATGTAATCCATCAATGCCATCCATTCTGGCTCCCCATGAGATATGATACAATAAGAAGAAGATTGAATCATACACATATATATAGATATACCTGATGAATGGATGGTACACATGACCAAATTCTAAAGACATCTAACAAGATGTGACATAAAGTCTGGAGGTTTTTGGTGTATTTGAACCAGAATATATCATATTAAAGAGATGATTGATGTTACAAATCACCAAAATATGCCCAAAAAGTTCATAAAATTTCACATATTTGTGAACATTTTGTGACAAATGCTCAGGGGGACCTTCCAGATATCCTCATTTTTGTACTTATGTGCTCCTATTAGCTCCTATATGTTCCTATATACTGTAAAAGGCCCCAAAATGGCTTTATCTGCATGGATAGTCCAGTAATTACTTGACATTTCCCCCCTTTATGATACTAATTCCCAGAGGGGGTGTTTCCTGATGTGGCTCATGTGGCTTTCAATAAACCTAACCGGGGCGCGTTAGTCGTGCCCTCTACCGCGGTCCAGTGAGTGTGGACAAAGGTATGTTATTCACCTAACCGGGGCGCGTTAGTCGTGCCCTGGTTGGTGTGTAAGTACAAGTGTGCGATACATGATGTGTAGCGGTCTCCTCACCTCTACCGCGGTCCAGTGAGTGTGGACAAAGGTAGAGGTTCGGTTTGGCCAACCATCCGGGCTATGGCGTACGCCCGGAGGTTGCCGGTCCCGCATTGGGGAATAGTGACGCACGCGCCTATAGCGCTTGACACTCCTCCTCGTCGCAGACCCCATGCGGGTGAGCCTCGACAGGATATGTCTCCTCCTCCTCTCCATCCGGAAGCCCGACGCCGAGCCTCTTGCGAAGACGCGTGAACGTTGTGGTGCCGAGTGGTTTGGTGAAGATGTCGGCGACGTTGTCGTGAGATCGAACGTAGTCGAGTATGATGTCGCGACGAGCGATACGCTCCCGCGTGTAGTGGTAGTCGACATCGATGTGCTTCGTGCGCTGGTGGTGTGATTGCTGTTCGGAGAGTGTAATCGCGCCCTGGTTGTCGGCGCCGATGACAGTCGGTCGACCTTGTGCGAAGCCGATCTCGCAAAGGAGTTGACGGAGCCAGACGGCCTCCTTGGTCGCATTGAACATCGCAACGTATTCGGCCTCGGTAGTTGACGTACACTGCGGGAATCAGGCTGAATCTGGGCAAAATATATCAGAAATAATTTGCAAAATAATCCAGAAAAACTATGAGCTAAGTTGACCCAAATGATGTCAAGCTTACTGCAAAGAGACCGGGAAAGTAGTCATATTTTTGATATATATCTAGATCCTTGAGATAATTATGTCATAACTTCATACTAGCTTAGCTGCAAATATGTCAGTAGTAACCATAGTTATTATACAATAGTTTTGTGATATGTTTTTCCCAGATTTAAGGAATTTCCCGCTGTGGTAGTGACAATATCTTGTTTGCGCGAACTCCATGATACGGCCCCCGATCCTAGAGCGAAGCAATAACCCGATACCGATCGCCGGGTGTCGACGCAGTTCGCAAAGTCAGAATCTGTCATGCCGACGAGATGTACGCAATTCCCGTTTGAGATGCGACCGGTGTAGTCCGTCCCCGCGCCAAGGGTCAGTACAAATAGGCGGGTATGTCTGAGGTACCGTAGAATTCGAACCGCCGCATCGTAGTGGGCTCTCCCGGGATTGTTAACGAAGGCTGATACTTTCGTTACCGCGTATGCGATGTCCGGTCGAGTGGCGCAGGCGAAGTACACGAGGGAGCTGACGAGTTCCCGGTAGCGAAGTTTGGCGATGTCGCGTTTCTCCTCCTCGGACGCAGGTTCTTGCGCTCGCGAGAGCTTGATGCTCGGGTCCATCGGAGTGGATACGGCCCGAGCGTCGAGTTGACCGAATTCTTTCACGACCTTGTCTATGGCAGCGGTCTGGGAGAGGTGGATTAGCCTGCGTTTGCGGTCTCGGATAACATGGATGCCCAGGATATGGGATCCGTCACTCTTCGTGATCTCCCAGCGTGATCGGAGCTGTGCTTCGAATTCGTCATTCATCGAAGGGGAAGAGGCGACCGAGAGGAAGTCGTCGACGTGTACTGCAACAAGAATGAAGCCCGCCTGCGTGCGACGGCAGTATAAGCAGTATTCGACGTTCACGTGGTGAAACGACCATTCTCCCATCGCGCCGTTCATCTCGTCGTTCCAGACTCTTCCGCCTTGTTTGATGCCGTAAAGCCCCTTCATAAGCATCCATACGTAGTCTTTCGCGGGTTTACCCTCCTCCTCGAATCCGGTTGGCTGTTCCATGAAAAGCGGATCCGATAGTTTCCCGTGGAGGAATGCGGACTTGACATCGAACTGACGAAGATCGAGGTCAAGGGATGCGCAAATGTGAAAGAGCACGTGGATCGTCTCGAGACGCGCGGTAGGCGACGTGGTTTTGTCAAAGTCGACGCCAAACACCTGCAGGAACCCTTTCGCGACCCACCGGGCTTTGTAGCGGCATATCTTCCCTTCGGCGTCACGCTTGCGTTTGAAAACGGGCTTACCCTTCAGGATGCGCCGCCCGGCAGGGACGACCGCTCGGGGAATGAGCTTGTAGACGCCCATCTTCCGAATGGCGTCGAACTCCTCCTCGAGTGCGACACGCCAGAGCTCCGCCTCTTCGCCAGATAGAGCCTCCTTGATGGTGTTGGGTTCGGCATCGTCGGACGCAGCGAGGAGCACGAGGTCGTCCAGCATCTCGACATAGAGGTCTTCGACTGAGACAAGGTCATCTCCGTGGGCGTAGCAGCCGAGCAGCGTGTCGATGGGAGTATCAGGGTCCGCCTGCCATGCTGCGAACGCGTCGTTGTTCTGAAGAGCGGCCGCAGCCCGGCTGTCAGCACGGCGTGCGCGCTTCTCGGCCTTAGAAGCTCGTTTGCGGTCAGCGGCGGCGCGGGCCTCACTTCGCGCTCGTTCAAGCCGTGGATCCGGCTCATCCGCACGCGGCGGAGCCTGTGAGTTGCGCATCGGGCGGTCGGCAGTGAGTGAATTAGAAGGCAGGGACGTGGGTAACGGCGGGCGAGAGACAGGCGAAGCCGGGGCGTGGTGAGAGTGATCGTCAGGTGCCGGCCAACCGTGGTCTGGATGTAACGGGTCCTGCGCGGTGGACGGGGACTCGATAGATTGACCAGGGTGAAGAGGGCGAGCAGCCGTCTGATGAGACTCGACGAAGCGGACGTTGCGGGTGATGATTATCCTTTGACCTTCAGCGTGCCAGAGGCGGTATGCTTTCGAGTTCGCCTCGTATCCGACGAGCTGGCATTTGACAGACCGGGCAAGGATTTTCAGATTGTGCGAGTTCTGTATGAGCGCATATGCCGTACAGCCGATTTCGCGCAGGAATGAGACATCGGGCTTACGCCTAAACCATCGCTCGAACGGCGTTACACCTTTGGGCAGCGAAGCGGACGGCAGGTAGTTCGCGAGGAAGCTGGCAGTAAGGACAAATTCCCCCCAGAAGGTAGGCGGCAGTCCGGCTGCGATACGCATCGACCTTGCTCGACTCATGAGTGTGCCGTGCATCCGTTCCACTTTCCCGTTCTCCGCCGAGGTGTGAGGTGCCGTCCACTCCAGCGTGATTCCTGCCGAGGCGCAGAACGCGTCAAATCCGCAAGACTTGAGCTCACCGTTGTCGAGCCGCAACGTCCCAAGCGAATACCCAACCTGGCGAGCAACCCGGTTATGCCATCCCTGTACGACTGACCTCGCGTCGGACTTGTTACGCAGTAAAAAGGTCCAATTTCGTGATGAGAAGTCGTCGACTAAGGTACAGGAATAATGTTCGCCGGAAGGTGTCGCAGTGCGGTCAGGGCCGCCGGAAAGGTCACAGTATACTATCTCGAACACTCTCGTCGCCCTCCTCCCCTGCCTCTGCTTGGGAACAGCATTGACTTTCTGTTTACCAGAGATGCAGGGTTGGCAAATGGGAGGAGCGAGAGATAAGTCGAGGTGCATACCGGTGACGGCCCCGGACTTCGCCATGGATGTGACGGTGGCCTCCGCGGGGTGCCCGAGCCGGCCATGCCATACGTCGATTGGGATTGCGACGTTCGCGACGCCGTGACCATCGGAGAGGTCGATAGAGTAGAGACCACGCCCGGAACGGGTGGCTCGGGCCACGATTTGCGAGCCGCGGACGATGGATGCCCATGTTCGCGAGAACCGGGCGTCATAACCAGCGTCAGCCAGGCGCCCGACGGAGAGCAGTCGGATCTTTGCTTCCGGCAGCACGAGGACATCTCGTATTACGAGCGGGAGCGCATTCGCGACGTGAAGGCGAAGGTTTCCCATGAGCGTTGCGACACTGGCTGCCCCCGAGATACCCTTGATCGTGATCGGCGAGATCTCGCGAACGTCGGTGAGGTCGCTGCGATCTGGGGTGCAGTGGATGGAGGCGCCCGTATCCAACCACCAGTCGACAAGACCAACATGGCGGCTGGCGATAGCGGCGTTTGACGTGAGCGGGTAGCCGACAGGCGGAGAGGACATCAAAGGGGACCACGTCCAGTCCGACGATGGCGACGATGGCGACGAGGGCGTTGGAGACGTGTGGCACGAAGCGAGAGGGGACAGCGGGTCGTAGAACAAGTCGATCGGAGGTTTCGGAGGTGGAGTTGTGGAGGTGATAGCAACGAAATCGAAGTCGTCCTCGATGTCGCATATAGCCGCGGCTCCCCACACATCCTCATCCACGACGACGTTGGCGACGGCGGTGGGGGTAGATGAGGAGGCGTTGGGGACAGAGAGCTCTTCAGCGACGTAGATCTTGCCGTTGTGCTGGATGAGGGTGCGCTGGCCGTTGCCTTTCGGCCATTTCGATTTATCGTCCCTCTTCTTATCCTTCCAATCCTCCTTTTTCTTCCCCTTCTCATCGTTCTTCCCCCCCGGCCGCGGCTGGTCGCGAGACGAGTCGCGGCTGCGATGCGGCTTCTTGCCCTTGGGTGCACCGGCGTAGGCTACGGTGCCGGTGCGATCGCGCTCCCCCCGCGCCATTTCGACTTCGGTGCGAAGCCGAGTTTTGACGACATCGAGCGTGAGCATCTCGCTCGAGATGTGATTGAGTACGGAGTCACGAACGTGTCCGAGGTCGATGTCGAGGGCGTGGAGTATTACCATGCAGGCGAAGTTGTCGCATGTCGGCAGGCCAATGCTGAATATGCGATCGCTGAGCTCGCAGATGTGTTCGATGGCGGGTATGATCTGCTCCGAGCTGGAGCGAGAGATCTTCGTCTGGAAGCACTCTTCGAACAGACGGTATAGTACCACCGGGGTGGATTTCATGTGCCGGGCCTTGAGAATGGCCCAAGCTTCCCTCGCGGAGGAGGCGTGCTCGACTTCACGTTGTTCGGCTGAGTCGATCGACATCCGAAGGCAGGAGAGCGCCTGAAGGTCATTGAAGATCCAGGCACTTTCCGATTCGAGCTCGGCTTTCGTCGGCCTCGGGCCAAGGATTGGTCGGCGGACGTATGGAGCTTTGTCGCAGTCGAGATACTGCTGGAGTTGGCAACACAACGCCATGCCTTGGACAACGCGCACCACCCATTCGTGGTAGTTGTTCTGGCCGATGGACAAGATGTCCTTCTTATCGGCCCAACCGCCCTTGAACTGCGTAAACGCATTCGTGTTCTTGATGCGCTCGATGGTGAGGACTGGAGGCACGTAGGGTGATCCTGCGTCGGCGACGGCAGTACGATCGGGTGGGGGTGTCGCCGAGCGGGGGTAATCATGAGATTCCGATCGCGATCGTGATCGCGATTTCGATCGAGAGCGGGGAGCGGGCGGCGACTGAGCGCGGCCTCGCGTAGGAGGTTTCTGCTTCTTCTTCGCTGGGGCGCGCTTCGTAATGATAGCGGCCGGAGCAGCTGGAGTGGAGCGTGGACGAAGATTCGGCATAGTTGCCGAGATCTGATCAAGGGAAAGCGAAGGAAGGAGTGTGGGGCTGGTAGACCTAGAATACCAGGAACTGGACTGATTGCGGTGCGTGAGTTTCGCGCTCACGCGGTTTCCGATCAACAGGCGGATTGCGCGTCCGCCGCTGGGGAATCCGAGGAATCTAAAGCGTCGATCCGGGTGGTAGTTGATTGGCGGGCTCGGTGACTTAGAGCCCAGGGCTCATAACCTTTCAATAAACCTAACCGGGGCGCGTTAGTCGTGCCCTCTACCGCGGTCCAGTGAGTGTGGACAAAGGTATGTTATTCACCTAACCGGGGCGCGTTAGTCGTGCCCTGGTTGGTGTGTGAGTACAAGTGTGCGATACATGATGTGTAGCGGTCTCCTCACCTCTACCGCGGTCCAGTGAGTGTGGACAAAGGTAGAGGTTCGGTTTGGCCAACCATCCGGGCTATGGCGTACGCCCGGAGGTTGCCGGTCCCGCATTGGGGAATAGTGACGCACGCGCCTATAGCGCTTGACAGTGGCATGGAGACTGCACTTGGGTTCGGCGAATTTCTGGAGAAGTATCTTGACGACTACCGCGAATACGGAGCTCCATTCAGTGGACCTTGTTGGACAGTATCAACAGACGGTGCTTCAGTCTTCCGTGGCGCCTGCTATAATGTTTTTCTGTGTCGGAGAGTGATGCCTGACAACAAGCTATATCCCCTTCTCGCCGGACTCGATGGTCTTAATCTCTACACGAGAAAGGACAACATCATATGGGGTCCCGATACCAAGCACATCGAGAAGCGTAAGTTCCAGTACATATATGATCCACTTTCGATGCTGATGACATCCTTTTTAGGTCTGTTCAATCTAATATCTGGGTCTGAAGGCCTTATGATTGACGGCGAAATTGTCAATCGCGTGTCACTTGAACGCTGGCTCCGCCGACTACCTGACGTATCGGATGCAATTCTCAAACGGCTCTTGAATAGCGCAGACCACCAGAATGTGCCACGAGCAACGGAGGGTCTTTCTCGCGTCGTTGAGATCGGTACACTCGATCTCGGGAAGCTTGTGACCTCGCCTTTGCTCACACCACAGGACTTCACTGAACATCGTGCATTCATCATTCTTGGTCGGCTTTGCAAATCATTTCTCGAGGCCTTCACAAGTCCAAGCTTGTGCCTCACCGAGCAGCTGGCTAACCTCTCTCGCCTGCAACATATAAATTTTGCACTCTACCGCAAGTATGGTTCCGCATACATCTCCCCCCAGCTCTACTCAGATCTGTGCGCTCTTGGAAAGAGCGCATTCTTCGTTGTCGCTCAACAGAAGCTTCTTGACGATTCCCAGTCCGTATATTTATACCAGCTTGGCAGTGATCGTCTTGAAGAACTTTTTGGGGAAGTACGAACAAGCACACATGACTCGAACTACGACATTCTTCAGCTCTCTCATGAACTCTCGGGATCTGCGGCTCTTGTTGAGGTGTACAATCGTAACCCTGATCTCAACCGAGGCCATCGCAGACTCAAATTCGGACTCGATCACGTCAACCCCCGGTTCTTCACCGGTGATCTCACTGCTTGCAATGCTAATCTGACGACGGCATGGAACTCTGGGCGGATACAAGCTCTTGCAGATCTTAGTGCTGTGCGGATGACTTTCGACTATGCTTTTGCGCTTTTGTCCCCTGACGTTGATTTCATGCGACCAAATGGTAACGGTGTTTATCCTGGACACGTAAACACCCCTGATCGTTCACTGGACGAGCCGACACTCATAGGCTCTGACTTGGAGACGGATATCCCGGCGCCGGCAGCTGACGATACTGAACCGGATGAATACAACTCCTATGGGGATCCAACAACAGCAGAACACGATGACGCTGCCGATGAGGAGCCGAATTCCAATGAATACCTCAACTCTGAGCTTGCTGATCTCGAGCTCGATGATCTGATCACACAACATGGCAATGATAACAAGCTCGTAACATCTGAACGTAACGACAGTGACTGGCTCTTAATTCCGCTCGAGAACGGCACTGTCAAGCGCGTACACAAGGCTTCGTTACTGAATGCTCTCTTTACCTGCGACTTCAAGCGACTCTCTATCGAACGACTTCTCCGTGTCAGGTGCTACACTCGCGACTTCACAACTCAGACTGAGGCTACCGAATTCGTTGATGATTCGGAGACATTCGAGATCGGCGACTGTGGGCTTGGGACTATCAGGTCAGCGGAGACAGCTGCTCTTGGTGTGATCAAGGTTAGTGCACTGGAGCGCAAAGGAAAACGTGTCTATGCAGTCGCTCAGGATGAACTTGGGGTCGCATCATCGCCGATCACGGTCATTGGACAAGTGTTCGTCATGCAACCACATTCATCCCCTGTCGCCATCACAGACAACCCATCAATCACACCTGAGCCGTTGTCTCCTGTATTGCCATATACCACAGCCTCGCCATGCGCTGATCAATCGGATACATGGGTATGGAATGGACAGTATGCCGCCTTTGCGCCAGCGAATCACAAACAGCATCTTCCAGCGGGCAAGACCATCAGCCGACATGCAGTTACCGTTCGAATTCCTGGTTCTCTGTTCTTCCCGGTTGATCTCGACACCATGCCATGCTCCTCGATTCTCCCTCAGGATAGAGGTGTCTTGGAGCTGAAAGGTATAACAGATACTTGGTCTATACCTAATTCTAGTATTCTTGCCACATTCGAGGCTGTGTTTGGTACCTTAACAACCACGGAAGCGAAGTCACTGCTCTCTCGCGTCCCAAGACATGGACTCAGTGCATCGTTTCCGTACCGACACCCGTATTGTATGTCGTCCGCCCCTTTTCTCGTAACAATCTGAACATGCGCTTTAGTGAGCAAAGCCTTCATCCTGTACAAGCCATCGCTTCCAGTACTCCTGCCGGCTGCTGCTCAAACCATCGAAGGATCAATTGACCCTCGAATGTCGCCCCGAGAGGGTTACTATATCTGCTATCAATGCGGCGAGGAAATCAAGTCAACATCTACCCGAAACCATGTCGGTGGTCATATCTTGAGAGAGATGTGCCGCCGATCATCGCAACCCATCGAGCCTGGGGTCAAGAACGCCGTGAGTAAACCTTTCTATGCCTGCAACACGCGCTGACAGCTTCAGATCGTGCTTCGCGACCCTTGCGGATTCTGTGGTCGCGAGGGAACTTGCGAGACGACACTCGCGCCCTCATCGCGCAACCCGAGCGGGACACGAACCGCCGCTGCTGGACCCTCCAAAACTCGAACGAAGACCTACTCAGTATGTTCGACGTGCCCGCACGCCCACGAATTCAAGTATGGCAACGCACGAAAATCGACATCGAATACGCCGTGCTCGAATGTGCCGATCGAATGCACTTTGTGCGAGAAAAACACCGGCGCACAGATCCATCCACCGTACTGGAAATACAACCTGCCGTATCACGTCAAGACTATGCATCCTGCTCACTGGGATGTCTTGAGCGAAACGCCAAAAAACCTTCCCTCCTCTCTTGCCGAGGATTCACTAATCTCCCTGGACGAATATAAGCATTTCCGTGTTTCGTATCCTCTCACTGGCATTCTGACAGATGGTACACAAGCGTTGAACACAGCTGTTGACCCGCGCAGCAGGAAGCGTACACAACAACAAGCAGGATTGGCGAGTGCGAGCGCCGGGACTCAGACCGTGAACGGGGCAAAACGTGCAGCTTTAACGGTCACTGCGACAGCATTTCACGCTGGAAACACATCTCAGGAGGTGTCTGGCAGGTCCATCTCATAGAAAGTAGCCCAGTGTAATTGCTTGTTGCATCACCATGCGTATACAGCGCGTTTATCGTAGAAACAGCGAGTGTAGCCCCAGGCAGAGCTGTCGTCGGAGTCACAAATTTGGGTTGTTGGGTTGCCTCTGGTTTCCGGGGTCTCTCCTGTCAAGTTTCTGCATTCGATGTCACGAAGTTGCGACCTGGTGGCCCCTTGCGTGCGCGTTGAGCGTAGCGCTTACGATATTGCAGTCGCAGTTGGCTTCGCCGTCGTCTTCAACTTTGCCGCTTTGCTCTTGCCGCCCCACTCCTGTGATATGTCGTAAACTCGCCGGACCGTATATAAATGACGAGAAACATAGCGTACCTTCTGTCCTGCGAGTCCGAGAGCAACCCAGGCGGCTTCTACATCCTCTCGAAGACTTTTTCCATGATGTTCAATGTAATGCTTCGCGAACAGGTTCCTGTTGTGGCAGGTTAGCAAAGACAGGAACGAGTAAGCTTGAGATACACGCCTGGGTGTTAACAAGGTGGTGGTACGCTGCCATACCCCCTTGGCAGACGTGGCGACTAGCGCCGAAGGCCCGGAGGCGCCGGGCAAAGTGGAGATGGCGGGCGAGGTGGAGGCGCTGGGCGAAGTGGAGGCGACAACCGGCGCGTTAGCAGTCGTATTCGAAGCCAACATCACAGTGCCGCCGGTTGACGCGGTCTGCAACGTATTTGCAAGTGCTTTCGGGGTTGGCATCGAAGCACTAATGGGTTTTGCAATAAGTGTAACGAATGAACACGATGGAACTTCCTCACAATGGGCCCGTAATCTTCAACAGCGCAATCGGAGCCTGCTTCGGTATCTCGGGCAACCGGGAAGGTGCATGGACAGGTACACCCATGGACGGCTCGAGGACAGCACGAGGGGCGCCTGATACAACGCGTGCGAGTTCTACCAATGCGCCGGACTTGTCAGTATCTATTGTGAATTCTGGTGAGCGCAGTCATCGTGACTTAGGCAGGACTCACTGCGCGTGTCAGACCCATCCCCAGCAGTCAAACTGTGAGGTACATCATAGTTAGCGAGAACATCGAGCAATAGCTGATGTATTCTCACCCGAGTTTGCCACGAGAGTCGACGGTTTCGGAGGAGGCGTTCTTGGTTGTTGGAGACGCCGCGAGATGATTGGGCCGGGGTTCACAACTGTTCGTGTCATTTTCCGGTACCTCCGGCAATCGGACAGGTGCTTCCATAGATACGGCCATGGACGGCTCGAGGATAGCACGAGGGACGCCTGATACGACACGCGCTAATTCTACCAACGTGCCGTACTTGTTGGTATCTATTGTGAACTCTGGTGAGCGCAGTCATCGTGACTTAGGCAGGACTCACTGCGCGTGTCAGACCCATCTCCAGCAGTCAAACTGTGAGGTACATCATAGTTAGCGAGAACATCGAGCGATAGCTGATGTATTATAACCCGAGTTTGCCACGAGAGTCGACGGTTTCGGAGGAGGCGTTTTGAGGGTCTTGCTCGTCAAGGCTAGGTGGTCCTTCATCGATAGCTTCAAACGTGTCAGAGACGTCAAAATGCAGAGGCTGGGGGTCAGCAGAGATATCTGAAGAAGTATTGCCGTTGTTGTTGTCATCGACAACCAAAAGAGCATAGGTCGCCGAGGTCGCAGACTTGGAGGAGCTCCTAGCTTTCTTGCTGGCCGGCACCGTGTCAGATGACACGTCATGAGAGTGCTTCCGCGTTGTCATATCAGTATCCGTTGATTCAGCGCCGAGCGGCTCCTCCTTGACTGCGGCGAGGGCAGGCTTGCGGACATTTTGATTGTACCAGGGAGAATATCTGTCGGAACCGAGCACGTCCGTCTTCCAGTGATTGGAGCAGTATCTGAGCTCTTCATATGACAACTCCATGTGATGGTGTATGTAGGCCAGAACACCTGCAGATAGCTTCTTGAAAGATGGCTTAGAGGCACCTTTGGAATGGATCTCCGCAAAGAGTGTATCGAGAGATCGCCGCATGGCGGCGGCACGTTGGCCTGAGACCACGGAGCCATCAGAATACTGGATGTAACGAGCAGCCACATTGATGTCTTGAGTGCAACGAGTTCCGCCCCTTACTCCTGTATCCTGGGAGTCACCCTTGGAGTGCTGGTTTTGCCGACAGAAGTTGGCCCACGTTTCGCGATCCCAGTATTTGACCTTGGGGTAGTGGGCGCGGTTCAAAGGAGGTACGGGATTGACGTTAGGAAGAGAGTTGGCAGCGCCCAGAGGATTGAGCAGAGCGGCTTCGACCCGACCACTCAGGTCAGCAAAGTTAGCTCTGAAACGGCACCGTGGCGGCATGAGGTTATCAGAGCCAGGGTTTGGGACAAAAATAACAAGATTCGTCACCGCAACTCCTCATAACGCCCCTGTAAGAGCCTCCATTCCATTTGTGAGGTCGTGAGGTTCTCTTGCAACTGCATGTATGCGGCATTCTGGGCGGCAAGAAGGTCTTCGTGAGATGCGCAGGCGAGTATATGCACTGGATCCGGGGCGGTGGCGGCCTGGGACAGCAGATTCAACACAACTCTATGTCATCGGGTGTATATATGCGTGCTCCCAGCTCACCGGTTGTCCAAGAATAGGTTGGCGAAGACGGAATGCCAACGACGACGCAGGTCTAGTATTTGAGAAGTTCTGCTGGCCATGGAGTCCAACAGACTGATGGGGAGTGACTGGAAAGTCATGGTCCTCGAAATAGGCTGTGTTATCGTCACTGAGAATAGAACTCGGTAGGATCGGCGAAGAAGAGTGCCCAGAAAAAGACGAAATGGAGCCCATAGAGAAGAGATTAGGAGACCGGGAACTTGGCGGCAGCAAGCTCATGACTGCTATATGAGGCTATGGAGCGGAGACAGCAGATGCTCTGATGTACAAACACGAAGAAAAAACTCGGCGAAGCTTGGGATGGTACAATGCAAAGCGCGAGTCCCGGAGGAGTGCAAACCTATACGAGCATGTGATCGTCCACCACAGGCAAACTCGACATGCACTGCGGTGTAGTACACAAAGATGGACTATACAAGCTGTTTCAAGACTGCAGTGTTGGGACAGATGTTCTGTATAGGTTGAGCGACTACCTATGGCTCTCAGAATATCTAGAGGCTATCTACAAGAGTCTTTAGATCATCGTAAAGTATAGTTGTTTCATCAGCAATGTCTTCAAGAAGAAAGTAACGGTTTGGCCAGTGCTGAAGTCCAAGAACTGATGTTGGAATCATTCCAACCACTGCACGGATATCCTCTACATTGACCACCACTAACCCATTGACATCTTGCTTATCACAAAGCCAGATAGTATGAAAGGACTCCTCGAGGATATCACGGTCAGGAGCGCCATAGAGATTGAGAACAGCATAACCTTGCAGCTGCCTCTCAACACCAACCAGGGCGGAGAAGTAATACAGCACTTCTCCAAATGTTACTTGATTCTGAAATATGAGCTGAGGTAGACATGGTACGACATGAGCATCTCATCACTATTTCTGAGAGTCGGTATACACTGACCTTGACATTCCTTGCCATGCGGACATCCTCAAGAGATTTCTTGCGTTCGGCATACAGTGAGCGTGTAATATGCCTGAGCCCACACCCTAGCTGAAGCCGTCCCCATTTTCGAATCCTTCTCCAAGAATGGTCATCATGAAAGTGATCCCACATGTATTGGGCGATCACCTGGGACTCATTCTCTGGTATCTGAACGTCGTGTGATTCACGGGGCTGGAGTAAAGCATAGGTATTTGCCAGAGGAAGTGATGTTGTCGGAGCCCATGGTACTGCAGGTTCAAGCTCTGGAATCATGGACATCACTGCATTTTTCTGCAAGCGGCAAAGGCTGCGCTGAGCAAGGTTAGCGTAGAAATTGGATGGCTGTCGGATTTCTTCGCCAAGGTTGCCGATAGCCCGCTCCATTGTCCATTGTGCTGTCAGTGCCAGTGAGCCAATGCGGGGGACCTCTCGGGCGACATGGCAGAGGCCATGAATACTTTGTTGACAGAAATGTAGACGGCTTGTCATCCGGCAGTAATAGTAAGACTCGTACTCATGTATGAAAACGACGTTGAGTGTCTGTGAGATCGGAAGAAGCTCTTGCTTGATTGTATACTGATGCAGAATGCGTGTGGACAGAACAAGCTTGCAATAATTGCGGAAGTATCGCCGAGGAAGCCTGTGATGAAGGAGTGCTGGGCTGAGGCCGAAGAAGTATGTCTGAAATTCTTTGGCCTTGTAACCACTTGTGACATAGTCTGCAACATTTCGTGGTGCAATATCAAATATGCCAGGGATGTATGGAGCGCACGCTGCAACATCTTCTCCGTGTGCTTTCCAATCATTACCAGAAAGACATATCCAGTCCCATGGCTCTCGATCATGCGGATCTCTATCAATAGTTCCACGCCAGAGACTGAGCATCAAGTCGGGCTGATTGAGTGATGAAAAATGCATGATATCCGGGGTAAAGCAGGTAGGGATGCCTGATATTCGTGAGAGGCCGGAGAGGATGCTCGGTTTGGATATTCCGAGTTCTCGTCGTAGCTTTGTATATTCGTCTTCTGTCCTTGCTTGGAGCAGATGAGCAAGTGCTGCATTGTATTCTTCATGCGATTGAAGTTGCAGGTCGTTGGGGTTCACATCATCGTGAGTGCACCCAGAGACACTGTAGTCAATCGGCTTCAAGTGCGCCGGATAGTATTTTTTCCCGCCTGGTTTGCGCCGACCTTGCATTGGGCAGTTGCCACGACATCCTCGCTTTCCTTTATGACCGACTAAACCTCCAATACTCGCAAGGCCGGGCCCATCGGCTGTAACAAACACAAGATAAGGGTCGTCGATTACCACCCTCTCTTCGCTCGCATCCCACACTTTGAAGCCGCCGCGTCCATGATTGTCAAGTGGTGTTTCGTTGTGTAAAGCTTGCAAATGATGCATGCTAGGATGAAGGAACGAGTCTAGATTCTTGGGGGCACCTGGAATGATACAAGCCGGGAGGATATATTGTTTCTTTGCGCGCAGATCCGGACTGAGATCAAGAATTTGCCATATAGCTATCCAGCAATCCGACGACTTGTGGCGAAACAGCTGTGCACCATCACAAGAGAAAAGGACCACGGTGTCGTTCCCGTGGACTACTCCATTAGCAACAGCTTGTAAAAGCTGCTCTCCATGGTATAGATCTGTGTATTCGGATACCGTGCCGCCGTTGCTGTTGAGCGACGTAAGAGTTTGTGCCATCTCCCGAGCCCGATAATGCATATTCTCTGCACCCTTTTTCGACCGTTTCTGCGCCTGAATCTGTGGGCCTAAAGGATTCGTCGAAAACTGAAGCTGTGGCTCCTTTCTCCTCCCTTCACTTCGCTCCAGCGTCAACGGATCGTAGCGAGGTTCACCACAATACGGGCATTCCTCCATGTCCGCAAAAGGCCCGGTGAACGCGGCGCAGGATTTTACACACATATCATGCATGACGGCAACAACTCCAGTGATATCGGCAACTCTTCGCCGTATGCGATCGTACGAATACACATCCTTTTCATCCATGTTGAAGCGCCGTTTGACCGCGGCACAAACGGACTCATAAGCAGCTCGAGAGGCGTTATCGAGAGCAAAATAGATATCGAGGAAGAAGCGGAGGTTATCGTCAATGTCGACAGGTTCACATGGAGGGTTGCGAAGCTGCGTGAGTACTTTGGGCGATAGGTGACCAGCATCCAAAGATGCACACTGAACCGAGGCAACAAACTTTTCAGCGAGTTGCAGATCCGGTAGGCATGACTGCAGTCCTGGAGCTTGGAGGGCAGATACCCGGCGAGCGTCGGAAGCGTGGTGCGCCTCCTCTTCCTCGTCATTCTGGTCGTCTTCCTCTTCATGCTGCAATGCGGGTCCTCGCTGAGCTATTTCTTGACGTCTCGTGTTCTCTGCCGCTTCAGCCTCCTCTGCGGCTCGTACCCTGGCATCGGCGACACTGCCGGTGTCTTGTTGGTCGAGCTCGTCGCCATTTCTTTCGAAAAGGTCCGGGTCGGAGATGCCTTCTTCGCGTACTGGGCCAGCGTCTCCATGCGCTTCATCTGACTGCGAGCGAAGGAGACTTGGAAAACGTTCAAGATGATTGTCTTCAGATGGGCATCATTATTCTGAGGACTCATGTGGCCTGGAGCGTATGATGTGGTATGTGCCATTGTATTGACTCTGCGAGATACATTGCTAGCTGTCTGTGTACTCGAATATGCTGTTGACGGCATATGTTGGGTGCCCGGCCTGCGTTGACGCTTTGCAGCATGCAGTCAGAACGATGAATTTGCGATCAGTGCACACCGCGTACGCACCTCTTCATTCCTTGTATCATAAGGCTCCTGTTCATCCTCATCTAACCTCTGTCTCTTCGAAGACGTACTCCTGGGGGCGGCTCTCGATGTGTTTGCTCCAATCTGGTTCGGGCGATCAATCTCCGGCAATCCACTATGTTCCAGGTACTCTTCCAGGTAACCTTCTCGCTGTGCGTTGTTGGCCATGTCTGCTAGCAAATACCCCAGTGAAACGGAGTACGAGAGAGTGAGCACGTTGAAAGAAACGCGGTGCCGGCGTAGTCAAGACAGAGTCGGGAATAGGTACTTGCGCGGCAAATGCGCATCGCCATAGACTTAATCGGGCAGATGTCGCTTGATTTGCATTCATCCATACACATTGCATTCAATATTTATCGGACATCATTGCTTTGGGTTGATTCTTAATTACTGTCTGTGAACCTAAAGTATTTGTCGATGTGGCTCCTGTTCCCTCCGGGACAGGCCACTTGGAGGTAGTCGATATCACCGCCATCCAATGCCTAGTTGGATGGATTCCTGTGCCTACTAGCAATGAGTGGGCAATCATCGATTGTAGTGGGGCTTTTGCTCGGGCAGTACCATGTTACAGTGCACGATACGATCTAATATCAAAAGCAAGCAGATGACCTTATGAGCTGCTGCCCGTGAGCATTAATTGCGCGCAGGGTGAGGCCTCGAAGGCAGTCACGGCGGTGGTCGATGCCGGGCGTCGAGGCGCGTCCTCGGCGGTGGTCGATGCCGGGCGTCGAGGCGCGTCCTCGGCGGTGGTCGATGTCATGCGTCGAGACGATGGCGCGCTGCTTGTTTGAGGAGTCGTCGGTCGTCGATGGGGGGCTGGCGCAGAGCCTCTGGCGTGTGCCGGTTGAGCGGCACCGCGCGGTGGCCGCGTCCTCGGCGGTGGTCGATGCCATGCATCGAGACGATGGCGCGCTGCTTGAGGAGTCGTCGGTCGTCGATGGGGGGCTGGCGCAGAGCCTCTGGCGTGCGCCAGTCGAGCGGCACCGCGCGCGGTGGCCGCGTCCTCGACAGTGGTTGATGCCATGTGTCGAGGCGCTGGCACGCTGCTTGAGGGGTCGTTGGACGTCGATGGAGGGTAGAGGGCAGGCAGTGGGTCACGGTTGAGGGCGGGCAAGCGATTTGTTCGACGTTTCGTGACCGTGCGGCGCGCTGGCGAGCTATCTCCGGTCGAACGGGGCGACACGCTTGTGCAGCACGAGGAGAGTGCACATCGCGGCACTTTTGGGGGATGGTGATGACATGGGGTGTTGTCCAGCAGCTGCCCCGGGGGCATCTCTGAGCGTGTGCGCAGGTGAGGTCGACGGGGCCGAGCGTGATGAACGGGTTGGGCCGGTGGACGACGTGGGCGAGGAGGGAAAGGAGGTCGAAGCCGGAAGAGGAGTAGATGGGGAGCCCGAACGTGGACGGGTGCGGGAAGCGGTCACCAATGCGCATATACGCACCGATACCGATCGCATCGTTCTGTTCGACAGCCGTCTTGTCCTCTGAATGAGACAACGAACGCAAGAATCGCTGCTCAACAACTGCCGCAAGTCGTTCGCTACGGCGCTCCTAGACATGGCGTGAGCCTTGCTCCTGCCGCTGCCGATGTTCGGCCCTTGGGCGGTCGAAGCGTAATTGACGACGTAGCTGCCGTCCTTCAGTCGCTGCAAAATGGCGTTCGGCTGCTGGGTCAGATCGACCTGGAAACCGACGACAAAGGCGGCCTCTTCGCCCGGCGGGACGGGGATAAGGGAGACGAGGTTGACGAACGCGTGGCCGCCCCTTTTGTAATTGATGAGCGACACCTGGCACTCTTTGCCGGCGGCGAGGGCCTTGTGCACCGTGCGCACGCTCTCGGGGCTCGTCCACTTGCGCTCGTCGGCGGGCTGGATGTTGCCTCCCGGGGCCTGGAGAAAGCGGCAGTTCCTGCCGACGACGTCGGCTTCGGGGTAGCCGGTGAGCTGGAGGAAGGTAGGCGAGGCATATATGATGCGCTGATCGAAGCGACGGGTGTCGACGACGGTGAAGGCGCAGGTGAGGTCGACGGGGCCGAGCGTGATGGACGGGTTGGGCCGGTGGACGACGCGGGCGAGGAGGGAAAGGAGGTCGAAGCCGGAGGAGGAGTAGATGGGGAGCCCGAACGTGGACGGGTGATTGAGGAGCGGGAAATGCGACTGCTGTGCCCGCAGCGGGGCGGACGCGGCGGGCCAGTGGAGGCTGCTGGGGGGCGCGGGGGACGCGGCGTAGGCGGCAGACGAGTCGAGGTAGGAGTCGACGACATCCTGGCTCTCGCTCGATCCCGGGCTGCGATAGACTGTCTCCCCAAAGCTTGCAGCGGGCCGTCAGCGACGCGATCTTCAACGTCCAGGACGGGGCGCGCAAGTACTCACTCCGAGGAAAAGTTGTTGGTGAACCAGGCCTGGCTCAGCGAGCTGGACGAGCGAAAGCCGGCGGCGAGGAGGCCTGCGGGGAGGACCTCTGCGCCTCCGCCATGGGTGAGGGTCGGGGGGCCGCCGAGGACAAAGTTGGGGAGCTGGAACTGGAGGCCAGCGGGCACGGGCTGCTCGGCGGGTGGGCGGTGTTGGTGGGGCGCCTGGGAGGACGCGGGGTCGTCTTGGAAGTATCGGTCGAAGGGCATGGTGCTCGCGGTCATGGCGGGGGGGTCAGAGGCCGAACTTCATGCGAGGAGGGCGAACGCGCGAGGGGAGGCCATAACGCCCCACCGGTTACCCCTTGTCCGCCTGGCTGACAGAAGGGCGTGCGCGAAGAAGGCGCGTCTTCGACAATGGGCCCAGGGTGCATCTTCGAACGTCTGCCCTGTGGTTTCAAGAGCGGGTGCAGCACGTCTTCGAGTAGGCTGTTTGGAAAGTGGGAAGGGTGGGCTTGGAACATGGGTTGGATGATGTGTGCGGGGAAGTAGTGGGCGACGAGCACGCGTGGCTCGGTGTATGATGAGCACGGGGCAAGGTGGATTGTGTGCAACGTCACACCTGAATTCAAGTATTAGCTCATTGGTTTTACAATGGTAAGAGGAAAACTCGGAACATACCATGCCCTCAGCATATCAAACATATCCGAAATGCGCACAGCACTGTGAGGACACGTAGATCGTTGGGGGGTTGGCATGCCAGGTTGTCCGGGGGTTCATCTTGCAACGGTGGGCACAACCGCTATAGACGCACACCCCATCTTCCAACCCATATTCTCTGAGCAGGCTCAGAGAACGGCATGACTCTACCAAGGCCCGTGCCCTTGGCCATGGCGAGAGTGAACCCATCGTCTATGTCTTCGCTGGCGCTGTTGAGTTGGACGAGGGGCTGTGCAGCTTGACCGCGCCCGTTGCTGCGCCGCTGCAGTCAGTACGTGAGTAAGGGGGCGCCAAGCGCCGCGTCCGACTCCCCCATGAAAAGGATCCCGGGCAGGAGACAACGCCGGTCCACAGTGGAAAGGCACTGGCTGATGTACTCAAAACTGACAGGCTCCTGCGCTGTGTGCACACCACATCTTCTTTTGACCACCCACAACTTCGGTAACTACTAACTACTACCGTATTGTACATTTTTCTTCGGATTAGATCTGGGCAGAATTGAGCATCTCACACACTCCCAAGGCACATCGTGCGCTGGTGCATCACCTTCCGCTCTTGAGGATGGTCTCTTAATTGTGATGCACCACAGATGATCCCACATCACTGATGAAAACTGTACTAGAGATATGAAGAAATGTATTAGTGCTCTCTAGAGATTATCTGATCGGGACTGGAAGCGAGTCAGGCACATCTTGTGGTGAAACATGGTCTCTGCAAAAGTGAACAATTTCTTCAAAATCAGCGACTCCTTTGATTCACTGGAAAACTCGGATCTAGGATATTAAAGCATGAATCTACCACCAAGTATTATATCAAGGCTTTCAGGTTTGTCCTTCATACGGGATTAATGTTTGTATCAAGGAGTGCGGCGGCACCAAGCAGTGTGTACCCCAATAGGCAAGTGTCATGGTGCTTCGACGTATAGCCACTGGCCAAACCTTGAGAGACTATGATTACGTAAATAGTCTTGTTTCTCCCACGATCAGTGGCAAAGGACCATGGGAAACTGCCGCGGCTAAGGCCGTTTCATCCCTGAACTGATCTCCATATTTATGTAAGCAGTCCCACACCTACAGCTGTCACGCTCCCACGCCAGAGTCAAAATCACGCTCTATCACGCCTTCATCACGCTTTGGCTGAGGGTCACGGATTTGTCACTGTGACCGAAGTGGTCGGAAAAAGAACCAACTCCTTCCCTTCGGGGGAGTCGGAACTGGCACGTGACTCAGAAGATGGGGACTCAGAAGATTCAAGATGATCATCTTCAAGTAAGCGTATCGTTATTCTGAAAATTGATGGGCCCAGAGCGTATGATGTAGTACAGTGTTGTACGAGTCGCGACTTTCAACTTAGAGCAAGTCACGACTTTGATGACTAGCCAGTGACCTGCCGCGACTAGTCGACCGACTCGGCCGTGAGATGTACAAGTAGCATAGCCATAGACCAAATACAGCAAGTCCCCTTTCATGCGATTCGAACTCCGTGTCGTCCGTCATGGACGAGCGTGCCCGCGCAACGACTCGGACTACGAATCTGATGCCCAACGTGCTACCTGCCCGGATACGGACCGTGGATTCCCCGAAAGCATTCGGGCAGGGAAGCACAGGATCTCTGGCAATACGGTGCCAACTACATCACCTCTGTGGGCGGAGCCGGTGCTCCAGGAATGGGAACCGGAATATCTTCTGTGGTCAGTCGCCAGTTATTCGGAGCCACTGATTAGCATGTGCTGAATGAGTGTATGGTCTTAGCTCATTGTATCTTGTAACCATGGCTCGATCTCCGAGGCAAAGCCAGAGTTTTGAATAGGTAAGAGCACATGTGTACATTGCTGGAATAATATCGGTCTAAATTCGCTGCTTTAGCCCTGAAGGCAATGAGGAGGCGGCAGGAGGCATCGAGAGGGTTCATGGATGCAGTGAGTCCACGATCTGACACGAGTATATAATGTCTGACAACATATCTGCATCCTTAGCTCGCAATCCCCTTCGGATACGATGGCTGCAGTTCTCCCGGGACCCTCTACGGATTCTCACTCGCATCTTGGCTGGTGGCGGGCGCATTTTCACAACCACCCCGACTACGTTGGCAGCCACAGGGGCCAGAAGAACCGGCGCGCAAATCCGAATGTGTTTGCTGGTGATAAAGCGAAGACGTGGTGTATGAAGTGTCAGGACGTCTGGGTTGATGCACAGCTTGCCTCAGATGCACAGCAGGTCCTGTCCGGCGTACGCCAGGCGCCACGAACTCGACAGGAAGTTATACGTTTTGGTGAGTTTCGATGTCTCTGACGTAGCTATGCATATGCTAACAGGAGCGCGATAAGAATGGGACCTTGATCCTGATGAGGCTAAGACAGCCGGGACGTGGATTGCAGCTCGGAAACAGAATCTACTACGACACCTTCTCCTCTGTCCGTGCGGGTGGCCCGCTGATATTCAATCAGCTGCTCAAGCCGAGCTTGCGTCGCCTATGTCACCTCAACCACAACGTTATCTTAGCTCGACTCTTCTCAATACGCAACCACCTCCTGTTTTCTCATTGCACGGTCAAGAATATTCCTTCCCGCAGTCTATCTCACGCCCAGCCTCTGTACATGGCTCCGACGCCGGACAGTCACGCTCCGCATCACCCTCCATAGCGTATTACGATGGCTCTACGTCAGCCGGGTCACCACCGCCTATCTCAGAGACATCGTCTGGCACCGAGCATCTTCGTGTGGTTGCTGGCAAGCGGCGTCGACGCGGCATATCTCCGTTGCCCAGCGTTACAGCACCGATATGGGATGGGGCTATGCAGGCGCGTTTTGAATCTCGCATAGCGCGCATCACCGCATCGGCAGGACTCCCACTCTCTTGGGTGGACAACCTCGAATTCAAGGCTTTCGTCGAGGACTTCATCCCTGCAGCCCGTCTGTTCTCCCGACGGACCCTAACTAGCCGGATTCTTCCGGCAGAGGTTGCAGTAAATCGGCGCAGCTGTGTCAGCCGCGTCAAGGATGGCGAATGTACGATCGCGTATGATGCTTGGACTGGGAATAACCAGCAAAACCTTTTACCGTTTCAAGGCCATGCGAAGGGCGAAGTGAGTCCGTCTTTATACTGCGTACCTCACTACTTATACAAACCTGGCAATAGATATTCACCATATCCGTCCACGATATATCCGGAGAACGGAAGTTCGCCATCAATCTTCTGCCACTCATCGAACAAGCATACGAGGATGCACAGAACATCTACGGAGTCAATGTCGTTGCAATTGTTTCGGATGCCGGCGGTGATGCACGCGCTGCTCCTCAAATGTTCGGCAGAAAGCATCCCCGACTTGTAATCCCAGATTGTTACGCACACCAGGTGAGTTGCCTGACATGATCATTAATCGTCTGCTTGGCTTACAACATTGGCAGATTAATCTTGTTGCTGGAGACTATTTCCGCGCAGATACCGAATTTATGTCTTTCGCAAAGGATGCGGAATTCCTCATTGGCTGGTTGCGGAACAAGACTATTGTTCTGGCGGAGATACGTATGATTCAAGAGCAAGTTCGGCTGGCAACTGGCTCCGGACAGATTCTGACCGTTCTCCGCGCGGTGATCACCCGATGGACATGCCATTACCTCGCTTTTCGTCGGCTCCTTCAACTTCGCCCCACCCTGGACACGATGCTGGCACACGATAAGGAGCGCATCTGTGTCGGGGATGCAAGCAAGCTCATGCCTCTCCGAAGCGATCGTGCTGGCACCGAGCGTGCGGAGAAAGCCATTCGGATTCTTGAATCTTCGCTCTTTTGGCATAGCCTTGCTCGGTACGTGATCTATCGGGAACCAATCACACAAATAACCAGTTTACAGAATGAAATTGCATCTTCAGCCTCTAGCAATCGCAACGAACATTGCTCAATCCAACCACTGCCGCCTAGACCGGATCCTGCTCACACTCGCTTGGCTCTATCGGATTTACTCCCGCTTGAATGACCCCGTTGATGCGCCTATCCATGAAGCTATCACCGCCAGCTTGGAAAAGCGGTGGAAGCGAGCAGATCAGGGGGTTTTCATTGCCGCTGTTATTCTTAATCCATTCTTCAAGACTACGGCCTTCGTACCATCCATCAAATTCTCAAAAATGGCCGTCTACTTACTCTTCAAACGTCTTTGGATCCGTTTTTTTGGCCATGACCGCGGCTCAGTTCAGCTTGAAATTGACTTTCCGATTCTCAAACGTGATACATATGATTATCTTGATGGTCTCTCCGACTACGCAATCGTCGACAAGGGTGTACAGGCAGCTCGTAGGGAAAAGGCATCCCTTGGTGCTGTATATTTGATTCCCTTCGACATCGTATTCTTCCAAGTGCTGATGTTGTCGCAGGCTCACGAACTTGACCCAGTTGCTCTATGGAAGGGTGCCGAACCTGCCCATGCAAGCAATGCAAGTCTTCTCCCTCCTGTTCACCGACTTGCTCGCCATGTCCTATCCATTGTCGCAAACTTGGCATCTCGTGAAAGGCTTTTTAGCACGTTCGGCAATATCCTCACCAAACTCCGCAACAGGATGGGCAAGGACCCGCTCACCAATCTTGCGGAGTTGAAGATGCGTATTCGCGATGAGCATGCACGCCTCGGCGCAAAGCAGCGCTTGAAACGGCAGCTTATTCCAAATCGGACTCCCGGTTTTGCCGCTTCGTCTTCGGATTTGGCCATGTCAGCTTCGACCGCGTCAACTTCGACCACGACACCTCCAGCCACAGCATCTGCTGGCGCCTCCTTATCCGAACGTGCAGATGGTTCATCTCTACCCTCAGCAACCAGCACGCAATTCGATGCTGGCCATAGTGATGACCAATCTGGCTATCCCACTGCTGCTGGCTGTGTTGAGAGCCTTCTGCAGCTCTCCGACGAAGCGACAGATCATTGGGAAGCTCCAGCAACATCCGCTGATACCGATGGCGATACTGATGCTCCCATCAAGCTTGCAGATCTTTTCAACTACTCTCAAATGTACTGGACAGAGGATCACGAAAGGAACCTCGAGTACGGATTGGACAGTGAGCTCGAGTTGTATGATTTACTTGATATGGATGCGCAGGGGGAGGATGATACCGATGACACATCGTTGGATATACTTCTTCACTGACGTGTATGTATAAACGTGTTGTATTACCACCTACATGCGCAACATGCTTGCGCTTTCTGCGACACGGTTTTCGCCCGGACAATTCCAACTCCGCGCGTGCCGATACTGATGCCGGGGATGCCGCCGACTCTCCCACAACCTGGTCCTATTAGTCGCGACTTACACCGACTAGTCACCAAGTCATCGACTTGCGGCTAACATGCGGCTAGCCGCCGACTTGCACAACACTGATGTAGTATGTGCCATTGTATTGACTCTGCGATATATTGCTAGCTATCTGCGTACACGAAGATGCTGTTGACGGCATATGTTGGGTGCCCAGCATGCGTTGACGTCGTGCAGGATGGAGTCAGAACGGCGAGTTTGTGATTGACGCGGACCGGGTTCGCACCTCTGCATTCCCTATATCAGGTGCCTCTTCGTCCCAAGTAACCTCTGTCTCTTTGAAGGCGTGCTCCGGGGGGCGGTTCTGGACGGGTTCGCTCCAGTCGGATCCAGGCGAACAAGTTTCGGATTTTCGTGGTGTTGCAGGAATATCGAGGAAACCTCCTGGCCGGGAGTCCCCGACCGCATGCGCAGACGCGTAGCCAACAGCGTACAACGGGGAGACAGTCAGGACGCTGGATGCGGCAGCGAAGTAGTTCAGATCGAAGGCGAGAGTGCTTTTTGCGACGAAGACAGGCACTTGCGCAGGCGTCGTGCATGCACTAATTTGGAAAGATGTCAGCTGATCCGCTGGCATTGTCTCTCATTCGCTGTATTCGCTCAAAATCTGACATCTGCGCTATCATTGCGTGAGTTTGCCCACGAATCGGCGCACTTTCCACTGGGCTTGACAGCTGCCCCGACGAAGTACTCCTCTCCATCTTCATCCTCGCCTGCGACCACGGCGGCGCCACGGGTCGTTCCCTGTCCTTGGTCTCCCGCCGTGTCCATCGCGTCTCCGCGCACGTCAAATACCGGTCTCTCTCCGTCCGCTGGCCGCCCGATGCGGCAACAGCGATCCCGCACACGCCTCGAAATCCAAGGCGCCCTGGACCCTCAAAGTGGAACATCTGCTCGTACCGATGACGTCTCGCGCGGTGTTGACGATCAAGAGTCCTCCGTTGAAGTCGCTCAAGCGGGAGAAAGTACCTCGGTCCGCGATGGTACCCAAGGATGACGCTGGAGGTCGGGATGCAGCCCACGCCTTTCTTGTCTTCCTTCAGCTCGTCGGCCCCAGCCTCCGCACCCTTTTCACCGATTACTGGCCGTCCGCCATCCCCCCGCACGTCTCCTTCCCGCGCCTCGTCGCACTCTCCCTTCATCAGGAAAAAGCGGACTATCGAAAGAGTCGCTTATTGGGTACCGAAACCCTCTAAAGCCACTAAATGAGCACGTTTTAGTACGTTTTAGGAGGCTTTTAGCAAATCCGGTTTTTCCTGATGTTCGCTTTCCCGAGGCACTCTCGCACCTGCCCTCACCCCTCCCCGCGCTCACCCACCTCCACCTGACCACCTGTCTCGGCGTCTTCATCATCCCCCTCGACCCCGGCGCCCTCATCCCTGGTCCCAGCGCCGGGCTCTACTGCATGTGGAACATGCCCAGCGTGTGGGACATGCTTGCGTTCTCCCCTCTGCACGGCACCCTGTCGCACCTCCGCTTCTCCGGCGTGATAAGCGGCAACGCGGCCCAGTACCTCCGCTTCCAGCTGGACATGCCCGTCGATCCCGAAGATCCCGGCGAACTGCTCGACACCGTGCGCCTCGCCCCCTCCTTGACCGAGTTTCCGCCCGGGTCGAACGAAGAAGTGCGCGCGAAGCGGGCGGGCGGCGGAGCTCAGGAACGTGTGGATCGAGGAGAAGCGGGTCGTCACCACGGGGTCCTTCGGAACGGCCGGAAGGACGCACGCCGCACGCCATACGTGCGGCCTTTGGTCTCTTGCGCGGCAAACTCGGAGGCGCAAGCTCGCGGACGAGGGTGGAGGGAATCTGGTGATGCTCGGCAGCAGGGAGGGCCACTACGAGCTCGAGCAGTTGATGAAGGACTGGCTGGACTACGTCGCCGGGGGCGAGGGGCCGTGGGCAGAGGATACGGTCGCCTGATAGCCTTGCGAGTTGGTGACATTGGTGCCGGCGTCGTCTCTGCTTCGCCGTTTAGTATGCGTATCCCTTTATTTTTCTCTTCGTCGCCCGGGCTCATAGATCCGCCTCTTCTATCAGTATCTTCTGAGGCAAGGGCGATTCAGCACGTTCGTGTCCATCTGTTCTTGCCAATGCCTCTCGCTGCCCCAACTTTGGAAGACGTATAAGTGCAGCAGAACCGCAGCGACACGGCCGCGCTATGCTGTTTGACTCACCGAAGCTCTCATGATCAGCACCCGACTCATCAGGATCGCACGTATGCCGGCCCCGGACCCCCACGCGCATAAATGTAACAGCCCTTCTTGGATTTTTTCCACCACACCAATCCATTTCCTCTCAGATATCTGCATGACCATGAACCGCTGTCCCGACGAAATCCTCGTGATCATCCTTGCTCTTGCCTGCACCGATGATGGTACCACCGGACGTTCTTTATCCGTTACGTCCCGTCGTATACGCCGTGTATCTGCGTCTGTCCGATATAGGTCTATCGTCGTGCGAGGAGTTGCACAGATCGGCGCCCTCACCGCGCAACTCTTGGTTCATGGCAACTCAAATGCATGCGAAGACTCTGCTCAAGTCGGGCGCCCAAAATCCACGCTACCCCCAGTCGAACACTTGCTCATGACGAGGTTCTCTCCGCATAAATCGGGGGATCAAGGGGCGGAGAAGGAACGTCCCAAGCTAGGTGTCAGCGAGGCAATGGAGCTGGAGCGCCGAGAGCTTGAAGCCGCCGCCAGCCTCCTCCTCGTGCTCGTCGCGCCTTCCGTCCGCACGCTTTTCTCCGACTTTTGGCCCATCACCAGGAAGACCATGCGTCCTGCCTCCTTCCCGCATCTCACCGCTCTTTCTCTCTCATCTCGCCCGTCTGCCGAGGACCTGCCCCCGCTTCCCTCGCTCACCCACCTCCACATCGCCTCCTGCTGGGCCGTCAACATGGACAATCCCCCCTTTTGGGACAGGCTTTCGGTTTGCCCGTTCCACGCCACGCTCTCGCATCTCCGCCTGTCCGGCGTGCGATTCGGAGCCGTGGCGGAGTATCTCCGCATCCAGCTCGACGTGCCCGTCATAATCGACGATGCCGAGGTGCGCCGCTCGCCTCTCATCCCCGCGCACTTCAAACCGGGGTCAGAGCGTGAGCGCAGGGCCATGGAGGATGCAGCGAGGCTCCCTATGCTGAAAAACGTGTGGATCGACAGCAGAGAATACGCCGTCCAGGGATGGTGCGGGACAAGTGGCATGGCGCACGTTACGACGCTGTCCGACCTCCGTGCTCTAGCGAAGCAAATACAAACAGTGCAGGACGACGGCGCGGATGGACGCAAGCTGGTGATATTCCCGACTAAAAAGGGCGAATACGGGCTCGAGCAGATGTTGGAGGACTGGAGTACGTCGGTGGCGGAGCGGGTCCTTGGGTGGAGCATGTCGATGCATAATCTCAAAATGGCTCGGCTTGGCTATGTTGCGCTATAGTCTCAAAGGCTGCGTCAGACCGTCACCTTCGTCGTGGACAAGTCTCGCCGCCATCCCACGGACCACCATCTCCTTGTCCGAGCTGTCCAGCTTTCGCCTTCTCGTCGTTCCCTTCCGCCCACGGAGCGTTCAATTGGTCTTGGAACAGATCAAGCAGAGGTTACAGAAGCAGAACATGTCATTTTCAGTGATGCGCTGCTGCCGGTTTCCAGCGAAGGTTTAGGCTGTGCATGTACTGTCATTTGCACTTTATGGCAATCCATAATATAAACTGAAGTGAAGAAGCTCGCCTCCTCAAAGCATACATCATGATACATAGCACTTAAACCAGATGGCATGATAGCAAGGCGGCTCCGAGTAACGACATGATTAGCGTTAGTAGCTGGATGCCACCGAGCCCATCTGAAGCACGACCCGCCGCCGAGGTTTCGGAAGAAGAACCGGCAGAACTGGTGCCCGTGGCCTTGGTGGAAGAATTGGACGAGGTGTCCGCACCTTGAAGCTTGAGGTAAAAGTTGACAACGTCGGACATGGTGGAGAGGGAGGATGCCGGGGCTGCGGCCGCAAGCCCGACCTGCTTGTTGTCAATGTCATAGACCGACGTCCAAGCCTTCAAAAAGTAATCGCCGAACTGCGGGGCACGGTGTCACTAGCTGGACAACTTATGAAAAGTAATATGGGCGCACGATAATCATCGGAGTCTGGCCATCTTCGGTGTCATCCTGGCCGCCCTCCCACGCCAGCTTACAAACTTGCGTGCCTTCCTTGAAACCGAACTCCTGGGAAAGGGTCTTGCTGTTAATGTCCACAACCCCGCGCACAAGGTCCTCGAGGGCGAAGTGGTAATCCTTGCTTTGGATGCGCAGCGCGACATTGGTGGGCATCGAGCTGCAGTCGACGTAGGCGGCGCCTTGGATGACGGTCGCACCCATGGCCTTGCTGACCGCGTCAAACATGTTGTCGGGCATGACAACGAGATCTGTTCCTGTGTCCATCTGCAAGTTTGGCATCTGAATAGGTGTTGATCGCGCGTTTCGGCAGAAGCACGTACCATAGCCTGGATTCCGTTAGTGTCGGGTACTACTTGGCCGTTCACGGATATTCCATCAGCTTGAACTACCCAGTGCAGTTCAGCCACGATGGGGAAGTAATCGATGTCGCCTGTGTACTGGCGAAGTTACGGATGGGGTGTGAGTCTGGTATTGATATCACATTGAAAGGCATGCCTACCGTTGAGCTGTCCACTCCACCAAACGTGAGTGAGCCGGCAGGCATCGTGCCATTTGAAGCTGCTTGATCGGGCGTGAGGTTGTTGAGGGCACGTCCCAGATAGACGCTAAACTTGTTCTCCGCCAGCATGTTCTGCGAGACTAGTTGCTCCGTGAAGGTCTGGAGCCCCGAGGATGACAGCTGACCCCACGCAAACCCCATTATGCCTGACATATCGGAGAAGCCGAAGGCGGTGGACGTTGAGAGACCCGTCTCGACAACGGCCTCAGGAATGGTGAAGCCAGCAACGGTAACAGTGTCTATGCCCACAGTGCCAGTGAACGATCCCAATCCGTATCTATATCGTGGGGGCGGCGTCAGTACTTCGCATAGCGAGGATCACGACGATACGAACCGAATGTAGACGGGCTCGTTCTTGTCTTCGTACGAGCTCGAAGATGTTGGGTCAAATGTCTGGGACATGCCGTAGCTCCCTGGGCCACCAATCCAGAAGTCAGAGCTTCCGGTGTCAGCTGTCACCAGAAAGTGTTGGGGTGGCGTTCCGACCGTGACCTGGAGAGTGACCTTAGTATCAGATCAAATTCAAGCGAACAGCACGTGCGTCGATATAGTACGCCCAATCGGACATTTGCGCGTAGACTTCACAAGGCATCATTTCAGCAAAGCTGGAAGATTGCAGAAAGAAGTGGAAAATTCACATTCTGTTAGGTTCTCCGAGGCCTGGCCTTGAGAGCGCTCAGACAGTGTAACATCGCCTCTCCGTATCCTAGCACCACGCCTTGGCCTGTTAGGCGTAGATCCGATTCCACGTTGGACTATATCAAGTTTGGAAACACCCGAAGCAGGTGCTCTATGAACGAGTGGGAGAGAAACCGGTGACGAGAAAACAGTGGCACTGCCCAAGAAAATGGTTAGACCATAGTAGAACACGAGAAGTGAAGGGGCCATGTCGAACGGCGGAAGAATTCGAGTGAAAACAGAATGCAGCGCACCTTCTGACAAGACGTCCTTATATCCCGATGAGCTGTTGAGCGGCGAGAACAGCCTCTGTTCGCAGCCAGGAGGGCGCTCAGCCGACTTTTCGAGTCATCACTGGGAGGAGGTTGTAGCTAGTGTATGTGAGCATTCACCGGGAGCGTTGAACAGGGCACCGGCGCTGCGATCACATCGTTCTCCGGTGGATGAGCGCTGCTCGGACCGTAGATATACACCATAATGAGCGGGTTCGATCAAATGCACGGAAGGTGCAGAAGCCACGGTGACCCACGTATCTACGAGAGTACGGCTGAGCATATAGAAACGGTCGGGTAGTCCTGATTCCTGACCTGATGAGCGCCAGTTAGCCCTCGGCTTTTCTTGAGTTATGCTTCAGCGATGACGGGCTGTTGATGACCGACTATGATGAGTGTGTCCAACGGGGCTGCCAGGTGGTCGAGCAGCGAACCGATTCCGCCGGTGAGTGATCCTCGCGCATGCGATCTTCTTGCGTGAGAGGCAACACAAACTTCTCTGATTGAACGCGCACATCGTAAGTATAAATGAAGGCACAGCATTGGAGAGTAGAGATATGCCGATGATCATACCTTCATATGCATGTTCACTAATACTGCCATAGCGACATCCGTCCCACATTGGATAGCCTCTGAGACCTCAGCAACGGAAACATCATCATCATCGCAGACGGTGATGCATTGAGCTAAAAGGTGTGATGATATGCTTTTTGGAAGAGCGTATAGACCTCGGCGCGGGAAACAGGATATCGAGGGGTGTAGAGGAAGTGTCGGACATCATAGGTTGGAGTGATCACCAGCTGGCTTTGCTGGCAGTCCTCTGCGAGGGCAATGCACACCGATTCTCATGAGACAAGGTCCGTGCAGAGCTTCATAGCGAAACCATGTATACATTAGTCGCGTTCGAATATCGATCTCACACCCCGTACAGTGGTGGTCAGATTGAAGGTGCCGAAACCGACTTTGCAACCGGTTCTCACGGTGCCTTCTTCCGCTTTCGACCTACCGGAACCGGTTTACGATCTCGGTGGACTCGCTATGCAGCACCGACCCCGGTTTACACGACCCACAGAACGATCCCGAAGATTCGCATAGCCGCGCACGCTAGCCTGCGCTGGTGGGACATAGAGGCAAACGAACGTGGGCTGATGATAGGATGGGCGAGTACGGGGTGCAAGAGCAGGCGGTTGGCGGTTAGAGTAAGGGCTGTTGAATGGAGGAAATCGAGGCCTACAGTTCAACTCCCTGCACAGGTTGAGCTGATGTGCGGTTCCGTCCCGATGAAGAGGACCATAACTTCCAACCGGGCGCCTCTCCCTCCTACGTTGAGCGGCATAGGGCGGGGCCTCTGTCAACCATCCTTACTTCCCCCATACTAGGCTTCCGCATCCTCAACAGCGTCTCATCGTGAATGTACTCTCACGATCATCACCCTCGCTCGACTCATCAAGTTGTCGGTCCCAATCGTCCTGCTTCCTTCTCCTGACCATCAGCAATGTTTTGAGGTCTCACCCCATCGCCCTTTCTCCCTTCTTGCATGCCCATGGACCGCTCTCCAGACGAGATACTGCGCACGATTTTCATTTACACGTGTTCGGATGAAGGGGCCACTGGCCGTGCTCTCTCCTCCGTCTCTCGACGCATTCGTTGTGACTCTGCCGCGGTCATGTACAGCTCCATGATGTTTAGGGGGGCAACGCATCTTACTTCATTTGCCGAACATCTCGCGGCTCAACAGAAGTATTCCAAAGTAGAGCATCTTCTCGTGTCCTGCATGAAAGCTCGCGTATCCACGGTTGCCAGGAATTTGAAGCCTTCTCAGGCCGACAGCGCCGTGACGGGGTCCGATGGAGGGGAGCACAGTGACGCAAGTGACGAGGGGAATGTCTCCGAGTTGGATGAAGATTTGACGACGTGCCCGAGAGCTTTCACGGAGACGAACCCTCATCGAAAGGGGAGCGTAAGGCAGCCAAAGCTCTCCCTCCTCTTCTTCAAGTTGCGCCAACCCTAAGCACGCTTTTCGTCGACTTTCCATGGTTCATCGACGTTGATGACGTTGAAGTATCTGCGGGTACATCTTAATATCCCATTCGAATGCACGGACGAGATCATCATACTAGATGATCGATGCTTCTTAGGACCCGCTTGCGAAGAATCGGGCACGTACTTCCTTCCAGGGGGTAGAATGGAGATGTTTGCCAAGAAAATATCCGGCATCGGAGGGCCCTGGTGGGAGGAGGTAGACTAAAGTCGCGACACCCATCGCTAGGAAAATATGAGTATCGTGAACGTCGTCAGTTACCTAACTATTCGCCGGCCGGATTCGGCGCCTATGCCTATGCAAACACTTGAAACCGTTGTCAGCGCCATGCCTCGATGCCGCGTGGTTGCATCCGAGCGATGAGCACTGGGCAATGGCCGATGGAATCATTATGTTTGGGTACTACACTCACGCCCACGAAGCTTTGAGCTCAGCAGTCGAACGGTAGGGTCATAGCTACGCAGATGTGATACAGAAATAAATACTGCGGATACAAGTGAACGATATCTATAATAGACATCAAAATCGAAGAAATGTACATGGCAAATCGGATCAACAAGAGTATCGTTTCGCTTTCTTTGCCACCGGCAGGGTCAAGTTCTCTGTGCTGCGACAAGCCCGCTTCAAGGGTCGCTGCGGAGCTTCATCAGAAGTAGCCAAGAGCCGCATAGAGCGACGAGGCGTGGAGGTGAGTGGAATTAAAGGTGAAAACGGGGCCTTCGCTGCGGTGTGCTTCCGCTGGCGCTTCTCTGCCGTTGGTGTACGCAGATCATGTAAATCCAGCGTGCCAATCGTCGTATGCATGTTCCTTTTTTTACGAGGGAATTCTGCGAGAGGCTGTCCACACCGTGGGTCCAGGTTGTGGGAGCTTCTCTGCCGTTTGAGAGGGCCGCCATGCGCAAGGTCGTTTTGCCGTTCGGGGGACGGGGCACGAGCGCGTTTACGAGAAGAGAGGTGCTGACAGGGCCTCGTCCGCGGGTCGGGCAAGGCATTGGGCTGCGGCACTGCAGTAAAAATCCAAGGCCCATGTCGGAGCATCTGAATGCATGGGTTGCAGGCGTTGACGACCTCCGCGATAATTGATCTCCAAGTCGAGCAGAGAGGCGCTCTCGTCGGAGTCCATGCTGCTTGCGACCTTACGCCCTTCCCCGAGTAAGGAAGCCTCCCGAGATCCGGGCAATCGACAAATTGCCTGGGCGTACGTAGAGGGTGTGGCGTGTGATGCCGCAGCTTGCGATAGGAAACGGGGGTGGCCTGAACACTTTCAGGATCAGACTCGTCGGTCTCGGGGATCGCTTCAAGGAGGGAGAGTGGCGTGGGGATTGGCAGTCGAGAGAGCAGAACTCGAGATCTGAACCACTCGTGTCGGATTCTGATGCCCTGGGCATGGTATTTCTGGAAGGAGAGGCGCCTCCGCCGCTGCGAGATGCTCATCGAACGCAACATATGAGGTGTGGTTGGGGGTCGGTCGCTGCCATGTGTGGTCAACCGAGGCAAACCATGTCCCCGGGCTACGGTATCATGTATACCGATAGCGGGATCGACTCTGAATACCTATCGTTAGTAGTTTCCTCGATTAATGAGACCGTTGGGCTGCATACAGTTCGGTGTCCTTCGGTGGCTGCCCGAGAATAGATCTAGTGGCGGCAAATGCCTTCGATGGTATGGACGCAAATGCAAGGGTAGCACGGGACAACATGGCTGCGTTTATGAAGGTTAGATGGAAGTGGGTGGTGGTGGTGGTGGTGGTGGTGGTAGGAGTTAGAGCCTGTCTGAAGTTCGAGAATCCGTGGCCTTGTGGATAAGTATTGTTCAAGAGCGCCTCGTGCACACAAAGAACGGCCATAATCGGGGTGGCCTTGTGTTAGCACCGCGTCTACGCCCGGTTTGCTGCGCACGCGGTATTGGATGGGAGTTGAAACGTTGAAACTCGACGCGACATGTCCATCTCCGTCGGTGAAAGGCTGGTCGGCGTCTGAAGGGATGGTATTCAGAGAATCTGCTGGTGATCGCGCTGTGTTTCCCGGAGCATGAGCGAGCACTGCGTCACATAACGCCTCGACCACGATCACCTATGAAGCTTCAATAGCTTTTCGAGTTCTGCAGGAGGGCTACGAAATGATTTTTATGGAAGATGCCACCAATGCGGGGGCCCTCGAGCAGTAATCCATTTTCCTCAAAAGGAAGGTGTGCGCTCCTTCCCGCCTCTCGACGGCGGCAGAAGCCGACGGAGCTCGTGCCCCCCCTGAAGTCAACCGACCCTTGCATCTCCTCGCATGTGTGGACTCAGTCTTTCTTCTACATCTCTGGGTTATCTAATATCGTGATGGGTCCGTGATTGAGAGGATGTAGGTGCCTTTGTCAGTAAACTCGGTCAGGTGGAATAAACGCGTAAATGCCTGCCCTAACCTGGAGAGCTCGCCGCGCTTCGCCGCCTACAGCATCGTCACAATCAAGCCACAATGCCGAAAGTGCGAGGCGGTCAGCGCATAACCTCCCCACGTTGTCCGCATCCCATCACATTCGTCTTCATGTCTGTGTCGAATGGCACGCTTTGAATTAGCGTCACTTACTCGCTCGAAGGGGTTCCGGCAACTCAATACTCTCGAGCCCACACCAGTTCGTGCCGCAGTTTGCTCGGATCTCGACGCGTTGAACTGCATACCGCAGCCATCAGCAAAATCGCTCCAGTTGCACGAGGAGCGGGAGACCACAGGAATGGTAGCCTTTCCGTAGAACTACTTCAACGTGCGCCTCCTCAGGCTGTCATAAACCCGGGAGTTGTCCAAGCTAATATGGCTATCAGATGACAGCACATGTTGCCTACAAAAACTCAGGGCCGCGAAGTGGAATATCCGGAGCCGCTTGATGTGAGCGCGGATGACAGCCTTATGATCACTTCCTGACTTTCTTCCGTTGTTCTGTACAGATATTACATTGGTTGTCGTTCTGCCGGCGTATACGTCTCAATGAACGAAGTTGTAGGATAGCATATAGCATACCTAACAAGATGCATGGTTCATTCGGCACTCATACTTCGATCTGTCGATACACGCGAGCCTTCGCCAAAGAAGGCGATCAGGCCAGGGTTTAGGCCAAAGAACCCTGTCGTTCGTGCCAAATCCGGCGTCCAGGCAAAGACTGCCAAAGTATTAACAGAATCACCGGTTCCTACAACAAGATCTCGTGCTTCTTGTGCAGATGGTAGTGTCCTTTTGATTGCTTCCGATGCGGATGGGGTCCGAGCTGATGCGACGCGCCAGATGACGTGCCACTCGTTCGCGCAGGACTCCGTCCCCGTGAAGACCATGAATGTGGCTCAGACCGGCCCAAGAAGCGCGTCCGTGTTTCCCGCCAGCCTTCAGTCGACGCTCAATGGCCCTTCGCCATCCTTGTGACGGGCCTCGAGGTGACGGGTTGCGCCTTCGCGCCTTTACCAGACCAGTTGGACGACGGAAAGATAGAGGAACAACGTTGACGAAGCCGCGCTTGGTGCAGAGCACTGGCTTGAGTAGAGTATGCCTTCCGACGAAGATTCGGATTTCCCTGTGTGTGAATCACGGCATAGTGCACTACTACGTGGTCCGTTATTAAGTTGGGTCAGTCGCTGGAACATCGAGTGCGATATGTTATGTCTTGTTTGATCCTCCCGCCATTTACCTCTGTCAACGTCGTATCGTATAGTGCAATCGGTAGTGATTCATACGGGCTGGTGTTTGGTCACTATGGTGGTCATTGATACAAACCTGTAGCCTCGCGGCCGTGGATGTTGCTCGCGCCGAAGCCAAGAAGAGTATGCCGGGTCATGTGTTATATGAGCCTATCCCGGTGCCTAAGCCCATTTCTTCGGCGCGCTCAACCACCAACTTCGATATTGCCACGTCCTAAAGGCAGACCATCCTCAGAAAGGGGGGTTGGAGTCCTTTAGTCTGGAACGCCTGACCTGTACACCTACGCCCACGGACTTGAAAATCGTTACGCCATCTGAACCTCCGATCCCTGAATGCTGGATGTTGTCACCGGATGATACCAGAGCACCTATCTCCACAACATCGCTAGCGACAAGCCCTGCCTGCAACAGGTCGCCAGCCTCGATCCCGCAAGCGTCTCGGGAGTCGACTATGATCTTCCCCGCCCTTTTCACCACGCTTTCGTCCGCTTCGACCATTGCGGGTGTATACGCACCGACGAGGTTGATGTGGGTCGAAGGGGAGACGTCGGCCCAGGTGATGAGCGGTTGCGTGCTCGAGGTAGCGCAACATATGATGTTTGAACATCGAACGCGCCTCATCGCCTCCTTGTCAGAAGAGCTGAAAGCCTGGAAGCTGACGCTAGGATGATGCGACTGCAGCAGAGATATCAAATCGGTGACGCGGGAGTTGACCGTTCTGCTGAAGATATCCACCGCATAGATCGAAGGATATGCCTGCAGATGCAGCGTAACATGCGCCTCGATCTGCTTTCCAGCGCCGAACGCAGCCAGCCGAAATGGTTTGGTCGATTCGCGAAACACCAATTTTGTAGCCAAGAGGGATCCTTGTGAGTGGTATGAATCTGTCTGAATTATGCTGAAACATGAGTAATTATAGCTCACCTGCTGCTGTCCTTATCGCAGTCAAACTAGCAGCGTTCAGTATGGCTCGAACGGCTCCGGTATCTTCATCCAAGACGATTGTAGATGCGGGTAAGCCCCGACTATCGTTTGACGAAGTAGGCACAGAGACCACTTTCATTGCAGTGCAATCTCCGAGTCGAGATGGCATAAACAGGGCATTGTGTCGTGCAGTGGGCACCGATGTTCGGTGAGGTGCAACGATGCCGCGGTTTGCGGAAAGATCGGCGAAGACCTTGCCCATCATAGCAGTCAGTTCGTCGTGGCCGATGTTTCGTATTACTCGGGAGACATCAGCGGCTGTTAGCACCAGGAGCGACATGTTCGTCCTCGAAGGCGAAGATCACAGGAGGAATCTGTCCCGGGAGCCGCTGAGCCATCGTATCGCAAGCGGGCAAGGTCGTGAGTTCCCACGGGGGCAGTCGTGCCGAAAATTGGGATCGAGTGACGTTCGCGAGGGCTTCCGCCACCTGCTTGCCTTGCACCGTCATGTCCGCCCCTTCCTCCTCCCCGGGCCTCGTCGAGCGCGTCTCCAACTTCGTTGCGGAGAACAAGCGCGCCGTGCTCATTGGCACCGCCGCGGCCGTCGTTGCCGCAGGCGGCGTCGCGTACTATGCGTCCACGTCCCAGAGACCTCCGCCGGGGGCTGACGAGGAGAAGGGAGAACGCAAGGGGAAGAAGAAGTCCAAGTCGAAGAAGCACAAGGCGGCCAAGGACCAGGATTCTCCCATCTTGGAGGAGCGGGCCCCCAAAGCTGCCGACGTGTCGGATGGTGAGTATGTCGGACTCGGTGACGGTCGTATGCCAACTCACGGGGAGGTCGGGTAGACGAGCCTGCACTCTCGTCGTCGCAAATAGCTGCTATGTCTGATGATGTACGCCACTGTCAATTGATGCTCTCGCGTGGCATCTTATCGTGTCTTTAGGAACGCTCCAAGGCCGCTGCTTCATTGAAGACGAAGGGCAATCAGGCGTACCAGCAGCGCAAGTTCAGCATAGCTGCTGACTACTACACCCGTGCTATAGAAGTCTCCCCCAAGCCGGAACCCGTCTTCTATAGCAATCGTGCTGCATGTGCGTCCGTGATGTTTCGTTGAGGATCCTCAGAACGCTGACTTGATCAGGTTACATCAACATGTCGCCGCCTAAACATGAATTGGTTGTGGACGATTGCAACATCGCTCTCAGCCTCGACTCGTCTTATGTCAAGGCGCTCAACCGGCGGGCAACGGCATACGAAGCTCTTGGTGACTTCGAGCAGTCTCTGCGAGGTTCGTGAAAGGGGATTCTCGTCATTCAACACATATCTCATGGGTGTTGTAGACTTCACCGCCGCCACTATCCTGGACAAGTTCCAGAATGAGAGCGCGGCGCAGTCGGTAGAACGTGTTCTGAAGAAGCTGGCGACCAAGAAGGCGGAGGAAATTCTTCAAGTAAGCTCACCATCCTTCAGGTTGCGTGCGTGCGTCCTGACACATGCATGGATAGCACCGGGAGAAGCGTCTTCCGTCGTTCACCTTTGTGTCGGCTTACTTTGCGGCTTTCCGTTCACGTATGTGCTCATTCCCGGAAGTTCTTCAGGACATTACTGAGAGTTCGATTTCACAGGACCCTTACCTACCTTGCCCGAAAACCCGCAGACAGGCGACAGCACTCTCATCCTTGCCCTCGAGGCGCTCGGAGCAGCGGATTACACTCACTCGTTATCCCTCGTGAACGAGGCACTCGAGCAAGGCATCTCATGGGACGCTGGCAAAGCCGAAGCACTCAACCTCCGGGGAACGTTCAAGTTCCTCGTCGGTGACGTCCTTGGTGCTAAGGATGACCTGCAGGCCTCGATCGACCTCGTGCCTGCGTTCACACAGAGCTGGGTGAAGATCGCTAGCGTTTACATGGAACAGGGTGATCCCCGCAAGGCGTTCGAGTGCTTCGAGGAGGCTATCAAGCACAACCCTAATGACCCCGATATTTACTACCATCGTGGACAAGGTGTGCACTGCTTTAGCGGGCTCGGTCATTTCCATGACTAACTAAGCGATCGTGCACAGTGTTGTTCATCATGAACGAGTTTGCGCAGGCTGCGGAGAACTATACGAAGTCGACCAGCCTCGACGACCAGTTCGTGTTCTCCCACATCCAACTCGCCGTCGCGCAGTACAAGTCCGGCGACCTCGCTAAGTCGATGGCGACGTTTCGCAAGACACTGCGTGCCTTTCCCCAGCGGTCCGAGCCGCAGAACTACTACGGCGAGCTGCTACTCGACCAGGGCCGATTCGAGGACGCAGTGGAGAAGTTCGACAAGGCAATTGAGCTCGAGAAGGCCAAGCCGCCACCGATGAACGTGCTGCCGCTTGTGAACAAGGGTCTCGCCCTATACCAGTGGAAGCAGGACATCGGTGCGGCGGAGCGCTGCTGCGAAGAGGCGCTGAAGATTGACGCCGAGTGCGAGGCCGCAGTGGCGACGCTAGCGCAGCTGAGCCTGCAGCAAGGCAAGATCGGCGACGCTGTCGAGCTGTTCAGGCGGCAGTCCGAGCTCGCGCGCAGCGAGCCTGAGTTGGTTAATGCGCTGACGTACCAATACGTAAGTGTGACTCTTTCGTGTTGGCGGAAGATGATACTGACTCCTATCGACAGGCGTCCGCGGCGCAGATGGTCTTTGTGGAGAACTACCCCCAGATGGCCAGCCAGCTCAGTCAAATCGCTCGCTCTATGGTATAAGCTACTAGATGGACATCTCGACCATCGTCCGCTCCTTTGCAATTTACCAAAAATGCCATTATCATCGCATATCCCATCACGGACCGCCTTTTCGTATAGCGAGCCGCGTCTAATAGTATTTCTCCACATCTGTGCTTTATGCCCTTTGCAATACCATCTCACTGCTCTGACATCATCCTCGAGTGTGCAGAAAGATCCATTGCTGAGATTATCCGTTGGAGGGTTGACAATACGTGCATGTCTGGTATACACAATACTAAATCTATAAGGTATGTCGTAGAACGGGGTAAAGCTGTCACCGCTCGCCGCGTTTCTCGTCCACCACAGCGGCCATCCAACGCATCACAGCGGTCTCGAGCATCGCGTCCCAACCGGTATCCTTCTTCGCCACCAACAAGGCATCGAAATGTATCGGCGCCTCTTGGGCGTGCGCTGGGAAACGAGTCGCAGCTGGCGATGGCGACGTAACTGGCGTAGGAAGATTCGAAGATGGCTGTACCGTGCCCGAAGCGGTGGGAGGAGTGACTATGGGGAGCATATACCGTAGCTTGAGGGCCCTAGACATCAGGATGAATAAGCCAGACATCTCAAATGTATCGATCTGTGGGGAGAACGTACGCTGCCCACAACCGTAGGTTGTCGACCCGCCGGAATGTCCATCCTTTCTTGCGCTTCTCTTTCTCTTCCTCGCCGCCGCCCTTTTCTTGCTCCAGCGTGAGGAGATCGTGTATCCCGTGCTTGGAGATGAATCCCCAGGGCTTCCGTGACCTCCGCACGCCGACGTTGTAAGCTTCACATAACAACTGGCCGGACGCAAGCGAGGTGAGGATGGTAAGACGATCCGAGTCCGTTGGTGGAAGAGCGGCTTGCAACGGTACAGGCGTTAGGGCGCGGAGGACTGCCTGAAGACGACCTGGAACGACATCAACGCAGATTCCAAGTACGTCATATTGGGATAGATAACTCACTCATGGGATCGTCGCCGAACGTGCTTCTCTTTGCCCAGTCCGGCAGATCCTCGTCTTCTACTATTTCCTCTTCCTCCACCAAGGAGTGGAGGCCGTCGCTCCCCTGGTCGATCTCTTCCGGCTCCTCAGATACGGTCATTTCCCGCATCGCGTCCAGCATCCCGGTGCTGACGACCCTCCTTCCAACGCTCGCTTGCCTCTTTTGCTTCGGAAACCCGAATCCGTCGCCATCGCCCGCGCTCGCTCGCCGACTGGCCCTCCTCGCCTCCCTCTCCTTCTCGATCTTCTTCCGCTCACGTTCCCATCCTCTCGAACCGTCCCTGCTTCCTCCAAAGAGCACGTCGTCCACGTCGTCGAGGTACTTCCGCACGGCATCCTTCTCCCGCCCGAGTTGCTCCAGCGCGACATCTTGCTTGTACAGCCATCCGCCGCCGAGCACGAGGCGTTCCTCCCAGCCCTCGCGCTTCTCGCGCTCCTCCGGCGAGAGCGTCGAGTTGATTTCGTACGTCTCCTCCTCCCAAACCGGCACGTGCTCGTGGCGTCCCTTGACCTTCACGAGCGAGAACGAGAGCTCGGGGTCGTACTCGGATCCGGTGAATTCGGGCGGTTCGATCTCGATGGAGTGCGAGGCCGGAGACGCGACGCGCGAGTGGCCGCCTTGGGAGGAGCTGGAGGGCTCGTGGTCTGACGAGGCGTCGTACGCGTCGTCCGAAAGCGGGAGGCGCGCCTTCTCCTCGAGTTCGCGCAGGACGGCGAGGAGGTCGAGCGCGGCGCGGCGCACGAGCGCGAGCGGGTCGCGCTCCGCCGTGTCACGCGACGTCTGCCGCTTGAGCGCGGGGGCGGAGGCGGTGACGCGGCTGCGGAACTCGTCGCGGAGGGCGACGACGGTGTCGCTCGGGAGCGCCAGGACGTAGTTGCGTACGGCGCGGATGCCCTGCGTGGTGAGCTTGAGCGCGGCGAGCACGTCAAAGTGCGCGGGGCTGCCGGGAGCGGACGAGGAGGTGGTGGGAGCGGTAGACGAGAGGCCCCAGGTGTGCGCGATGGAGGCGAGGTCGTCGATCACGCCTGGCTTGAGCGTCTCAGGATCGGTCTCGACGCTTCGCACGTGATGCTCGAAAGGCGGGGGGACGATCGTGGGCACGACGGGCGTCGGTGGAAGCGCGAGGCCGCTATGCGATGTGGGGAGCGCGAGGCCCGTGTTGATTCCCGAGACGATGCCGCCGAGGGCGGGAACGAGACCCAGGTTCTTCTTCTCGAGCGGACTGGAGCATCGCGGCACGAGTTGAGAAAAAGCGAAGACCGTGGTTAGATACGCGCTTGGAGGCTCACTGGGGGGCGGAAGGGTGCTCACTTGGTCGGTGCGCTCAGCCCGGTCTTGGTGAAGTAGTGCTGGAGGTGCTCGATGCTCCCGAGGGCCATGACAGACTCGCGCTTGGCCGCGGACCGGCTGAAGGGCTTGAGCTGCTTGGTGCCGGACGAGGACTTCATGTTCGGGTAGAACGCCGTCTGCCGACGCGACTTCTTGAGGGCTTTGTCCGGCGTGGTCACGCCCAGGGTCGACGGGTCGGAGGACGTCGAGCCCGTGGTGTCCGGCGTGAGCAGCCGCGGCGTTGACGAGGGTGACGACATCGTGAGTCAGCGGGCCTGCGGTGGGGAACAGGTGGAGATGAAATGCCGCCTGTCGACGTGGAGGTCGGGATCTCCGAGTGCAAGTTCGCCGCTGGAAAGCAACTTCGCCTCGCGTCTCAAGCAGGATATGTTGTCCGAGTGCTTTCCCGAGAAATCAAGGCAGCACGATAATCAAGACGTGATCGCGATGCAGGCTTGGATTATGCATCCAGCCGAGGCATGAAGCAACCGCGAGTGAGCGTGGCGTTTAGGGTTAGGACGATCAGAACTTAGGGTTAGGGCTACATACTGCGAAGATATGCGTCACATCCTTCGCGGAAAGCACAGCTGCTGGCGCATCTCGACGGCATCTCATTTGGCTGCTCTCACCGATGCCTGGTCTCTGAACGCATACGCTGACTCTATGTTCTCGCAATAATGTCGCTGCAGAAAGACAAATACTACTGGGCCCAGCTACGCGCCGCCCTGACAGCCGGATCGTGGGGCGCGACCTTTCCTGCAAAATCGCCTCGGGGCGAGGCGCTGTCATGGTCCGAGCTCCTCAGGAAGTTCAAGAAGCATTGCCGGGGGTACGACGGCTATGAAGAGGTCTTCGAAGTGGCCAGCCAGACGCAGGCCTTGGCGCTGTTGGTTGCGGCGGGAACCGATCTTAGCGAGGATGGGTTAGATGGGGATGCTGAGGGCTTGTATCTCGGCGACGAATGTGTGCTTGCGGAGGAGAGGAGGGAGGAGGCTCGCACCAGTTATGACGTGCTCAAAAACCTGAACGGAACAAAGAGCGATGTACGTCGGCCGCGCTCGTGTTGCCTGTACTACCTGTGTTCAATACCGCCATGCCACACAGTCCGTGAAGGTCTTGTTAGCCTACTATGCGTACGCTCTATCCAGACCCTCTGAATGCCTTCAGTACCTTTCGGAAGCCTCGACCCTTGCGAACGGGGACATGCACCTGCCCCAGTCGTCTTCATCCGCTACCAACGTCGGGACCCAGCGATCCACGATCACGGCATCTACACTCGCCGTTCCAGGCCAACCTTCGTCCACGCGTAGCGAGACGCCTTCGTCTTCGCGCACGACCACCAGCTGGGTCTCCCATCCAGACCCGACGTCTCAAGTATCACCCTATATTGCCGATGGGCGCTCTTGGATTCAAGTCGAGGTTATCCGGAGTATATGCTTGGAGGGTGAGCCAACCTGCCATACCTGTATCCGCCACCGACTCATCTTACCTCAGGCATGTCCAACGAAAAGCTTACTCAGGGAACATCACCATCCACCACGGCCCTCCAGTCATACATGAAAGCCCTACCGATAATATCCTCCACAGTAAACGATCTCCCCCGTCCGTACCCTGCACCATCAGTCGCTTCAGTGCCTTCCGGCCCAGGAAAACTGGATTTTGCCTCTTTCATCAAATACCGCGAGCTGTGGCGGTGGACGGAACGTCTCCTCTGGCGTGCCATCGTCCTCGTCTCTCTTCTTCTAAGCCAGCCAACGGCGGACGATACTTCGGAGCAAGACCGATTATGGACTCTACTGCAGCAGTATCAGCAATGCGCCTCGCACTGGCCGCCGACGTTCCGCCCTTTGCATAGATCCACCATATATACCCTACACATCCGTGCCTTGATTCTCGCTGCCCCTTCGACATCACTCAACGCACCCTTCAATAGCGTGCCGACGCCGAAAACCCCAGCGTGGCTACCCCGCGCACGCTCCGTGATACAGGAGTACAGGGCCGTGCTGGACGTGTCCACCACGTTCCCGAAGGCGGGGGAGAAGAACACAAAAGTAGAGGAGCTCGTCGATCTGTCCGTGGCCGTCTGGGAAGCGAGCGGCGGTGTCGGAGAGTACGCTGGATGGGTCATCGACGTGCGTAACAAGAAGCCGGCGATCTCGTCGCAGGAGCTGACGCTGGTCGATACTTCCAGATCCTATGGTGGGCGACCCGCCTCACCTTCAACTCGCACCGCATATACCGGCACATGTCGCGCCTGCTGTACGCCGCGGGCGACGTGGACCTTGCGCGGCGCTTTCTCGGGCTCTACGCTCAGGTCGTCTCCAAGGCGCGCGAGACGATCGCGGCGGAGGAGCAGCAGAAGAACGAGGACATCGCGCATGGCGTGCACGAAATCGGCGTTCAAGGCGTGGAGGCGCGCGACCCGCACGATAAATCCCCGAAGGTGGAGATGGACCTGGACGGCGACAACGACGAGGACTGGGTGCGGACGCTCGTCGCTGGGGCACGGATGCTGTGTCGGCTGGCGGAAGAGAAGGGGAGGGGGCGGCTTGTCGGTGGGGGAGCGGGCGTGGGTGGCGACGGGCGTCAGGAGGTGCGAGAGGCGGCGCGGTACATCGCGAAGGCGAGGGAAACGTTGAACGCGAAAGAGGACGAATCAGAGCTGTGGAAAGAGCTGCGGGCAAGTGTGGATCTGGCTGAAGGCGTTTGCGAAGCCGTCTCCGCTAATAAAGGTGGGTCTTTCCGTCATATTTGATCGTCAAGTTCGGCCTGCAACTAACATTCACGTGCATTAGAAAACGATCCCGGTGTTCGAGGGGACCGTCTCGCTCGCTCACGGGCCCTCCTGGAGTCGTCGGTCTTGACCCACCCTACAGCGACGGCTCATCATCACCTCGCGCTCGCGCTGTCGCGGCCCGCGCCATCACTCGACTTCGCCCGAGCTATCGAGCACGCACGCGTTGCAGTGGAAGAGGACCCCGGAGAGATCCGACACTGGCACTTGCTCGGATTGCTGCTGACGGCAACTGGCGACTGGAGAGGCGCGAAAGGCGTACTGGAGGTGGGTAGCGGCATCGGCGAGCCAGATACGGACGACGCAAACGGTGAAGAGATCGTCACCAACGGGGACACGAGCACCATCGTCGCGCACGACTTCTCCGGCGCTGGCGTCCTGTATCCGAATGGCTCGTCGAATGGCGAAGTGACGCCGACGGCACCCACTCCGACCGCCACAACCGTCCCCGGTCCAGAGTCATTACCACCCGCACCGGGACATCGTTTGTCCCTCTTGCTCGATTATAAGAGCTTTTCTGTACCTCCTGCATCCTCTCTCCTTCCACCACGGCCAGATAGACCCCGGCCATCACGCCAACAATGCTTCGAGTACGCACTGCAGCTCCGCATGACACAGCTTGCGCTATCCGAACACGTCGAAGGGCCTGAAGGCGCCGAGCCCAAATCCGTGGAGGTTTTTGCATGGGTGGCGGAGCACAACACGGGAGGCACCAGCTCGAACGCGGGAAGCGAGGCCGGCGGCAGGAGGGCTCCCGGGGGCGAATCCCGCGACGGCCATGGCGGGTCGCAGCAGAGCTATTCCAACTCGCCCGCGCTGGGCCCTCGCCGATCGGTTGACATGGATCAGATCAACCACACCACGCCTCTGTCCCTTTCACCGGCCGCACAGCCGGTTCCGATACCCATCACGGTCAGCCCCGCCTCCCCTGACTCCCATACCGACGTGTTCCCGTTCAACCTCCGAGAACAGTCGTCGCTGAGTAGCGTCACCGAGTCCGTTTCTGACAAAACTGTGGACGGAGGTGGAGGCGTGGGCTCAAGGGGCAAGAAGGTGCAGAGGATGTTAAAGCAGAGGGTGAACAAAGGCCAGGAGAGGATCACGACGATATCTCGGAAGATCGGCAGCGGAGTGGTCAGGAACGGAAGTGTGAGGCTGAGGAGGACACTCTCTGCCCCAAGTAAGCAAGCAGCCAGAGCCCTGCTTAGAACAGCAAGCTGACTGGGTTTTACCAGACTTCACGGAGCAAAATGGCCATCGCTTCCAGGCATCCTCCATACACTCGCGACGCTACTTCGCGCCGTCGATCCTGCAGCAAGATCCATCGCACACTGACTTACCCCTACCGCACAACCCATCCCCGATACCACCTTTGCAAACAGCGACCAAGCCCAACGACCGCGGGGCCAGGAATCGCCGCCTGCTCTCGGACCTATGGCTCATGTCGGCAGCGACATTCCGGAGGCTCAGCAAAATCGAGCAGGCAAGGGGAGCGATACAGGAGGCAGAAGTTCAGGACGAGAACAACCCGGCGGTGTGGGTTCAGGTGAGGAAGACTTACTCAGAAAAAACATAGCTGACGGATATTGTAGCTGGGATTGTATTATATCGCCCTGGGAAGCGAGCGGCGCGCGAAAGAAGCGTTCGGAAAGGCGCTCTTCATCTCGCCTGACGACGTTTCCGCCATCGTTCACCTCTGCCGATTGTACCTTACGTCTGCCGAACGATCCTCGTCCTTATCTTCGAAGCCGCCCGCTGCCGACGACGTCGACCTGGCAGCAGGCATGCTTTCCGAACTGACTCGAGGACCCGGTTGGGATATCGCGGAGGCATGGTACTTCCTCGCCAAAGCATACGGGATGCAGGGTCGCAAGGACCGCGAACGCGAGTGTCTGGCGTACGCGCTGGGCCTTTCGGAACACAGGGCAGTGAGGGATATGGGGACGGCTGTGGGGTGGTGTCTATAGCACGCTGTGTGTATCACTTCAGTCTCGCCATCATCGCGGACTCCCTTCATACGCTATCTATGATCATCTTGATACCCTCTTGCGATTCCACTCCTGCCTTGTTCGAGCACGCTGGGAGCATCCTCTCCCAGGCGCGTCTCGAGACCCTTAAACGTTCTATTCAGGAGGAATTGACCTGCGCACATGACAGTCAATGCAAGGTCAACAAGGAAGCGCGCCCCTCGGCACTCACCAGCCGCGCTGTCTGGAATGGTTGCTAATGCATTCTCTTGATTGCGTATAGCGACCGCAGTAGATTCTGCGCCTTCTTCCACATTTGAATGGGATGATCCTGGATGGCGCCGGGACGGTTCAGTAAGAAGTGCATGTACATCGATCACAACCTGGCTGACCACCGTATCGTCTGGCTTGTCGATATTTGCCAGTGACGAGTGAGAATATTGGTTGATCAGGATCTTCTTCTTCGGAGTCCTCACGCTGGGCGGACTCGTCTGCGGTCGCCAGTAAACATAAAGCGGAATACACTAGGTGACACGTACCATCCTCGCCCTTCTGCGCGTACGCTGTCAGCAACGCTTCAAAATCCAGGACATATCTCCCTGTCCAGCTCGGCTCCGCCTTCAAGGCTATCTCGAGTTCGTATGGTGTGACAATTGGCCTTTGAAATTCCTGGATGCTGTACGTTGAAAGTCCGGAATAGGGTGCCCATAATGGAATCCAAACCTTAGCATCCACCAGGCTGTTCTCCGGGCAAGCGACGAGCACGAAGCATTCAATCTCCGCGAAGTTGCCCAATTTAGCGGGGTTAAGCTTGCCCACACTTATTGTATAGCTCTTTTTCTGGGCACGCTTGAGTACGCTGCGTAAGTGGGTTATGAGGGGAAGGTAGGATGCTGTAAGATGAACACGGTAAGTTGTGGGCCAGGATTCTCTGGGCGTGGCAGGGGAACGTACCAACTCCGAGAGTGCCGACGAGGATTCCGAAGACGTCCGCGTCGCGTGCACGCTGGAGAACCGCGTATCGTCGCATGAGGAGCTTATTGGTCTTGACTGACTCGAGTCGGAAAGTACTTGAGTCCGGATTATAGGAGTAAACCTTGTAGAATAGTCAATTTAGGCACAGGCTAGGCACGCGTATGGCTGCAGATACCTCGTACTCGGAGTGCGTCAAGAGTAAATTGGTCAGGCCCAGGCTTTCGTCGCCGACGTACAGAACGATGCAATGCGAAGGATCCCTATCTACAAGTGCAGGAAGCTCGCATTCGCCTTGGTCTGTCGTTATGGTAGCGTTGGATGGTGACGGAGCTGACGAAAACGGTAGCGGAGTGTAGATCAATTGCACTTGTTCTGGTAGCGCCTCCTTGATCTGTGCCAGAAGGTCCTCTGAACGTCCGTTAGCTGCACACCATTGTGATATTCATGAATTGAGGGTCGTACCAGCTCGATGCGCGTATCTTACGTCATGCTTCAGCAACACAGATCGTAAATTGCTTCCCTCTTCTTTCGATCGGACCACCTTCGCTAAGTGGGAGGCACAGCCTACCACGTCCAATGGCTTCTTGCCAAAAACATAGATGACCGGCAACCGGGAAGTTCTTCCAATCGTGTCGTCAATTGATCATCATGTCATACGTGGTACCGCAGGCTGCGAACTTGCTCATGCATGCGTGGCCGTAGTGCACCACGACATCGGCGTCGACATGTTGAGCGGCGACTTCGTCTACGCAGCAGCTAGATGGCTCATGTTATATAACGATGCATGTTCTAAAGGATGGAAATTCGCAAACGCGTTAATAGCTCACCTCCCATATGATGTGTCCGCAAGGACAAACAGATCATGACCTTCGCCAACTAATCGCTTGAGCTGTCGATATATGCTGACGGAAATCGGTAGCAATTCGTCGGGGAATTGGAGAGCGATCTAGAAAAATGTCGATAAACGCGCACGGGTGAGTGATTCATACCTACCCGTTTGTAATTTCCGGATATCAATTCCGAAGCTACTCTTTGAGTGTCATATTGGTCCCGGATATGTTCCTCGGAAAGAACGACGTGCACTTGATCCGAATCAAGTTGGCGGGAGATAGCCTCTGCTCCAGAGGACGAGAACGTTGATGTTTCCTCCATATTATCGCAGAGCACGCTGTTAGAAGAAGATCTGGAATCGAACAGGCCGTATTACAGAATTAACACTCGGGCGTCTCAATGTCGTCAGGATCATGTGACTTATTGAAAAGCCAGCGACGGTCCAGGTGAGCCGTGGACAGTCGTGAGTATTGCGCGGAGTGAACGGGATACCAGATATTTGACAGCGCAAACAGATAGAGCGACTGAAGAATATCATTCCTGGTATAATGAGACATCACAGAATCTGGCGCTTTGGCGGGTCCCGACTCCGGAGGGCACTCTGACACAGCCACAACCCATGGCCTTGTCGTTTCGCCGCCGAAGCCTGACCCGGGTCGCATATATCGTCGGCCTCGCTATTGTCGCGAGACTACTCGTTATATATACATCTTCTTCAAGCAGCGGCCAAGATGACTTGGAAATTAGGGAGCAAAATTATCTGGACAAGATAAGGGTGGCAGGCGTTGGCGGCCTCACAGGAGCCGGCGGCGCGTTGGATGTCCAGAGGCACAAGTTCCTGCAGGTCAGGTTGGGACGGGACGAGAGGGAAGATATGTTGGACAAGGAAGTCAGGGATGGCTACCTTGACTTCTGGCAGCGATATGAAATGCCTTAGTGAGTCCCCTGTGCATACGTGTTTGTGAAGCGGCGCTGGTGCTCACGAATGGTCGACGGGTTACTCGCGTATGCAGCATCACCAGCGAGGAAACATCTCAGATGGACGCCCAAGGCGTCCTGCGCTCCATTGAACAACTCCTCTCCCTCAATGGTTGGGTTGCCGCACTTTGTCCGACGCTGTCCCGCCCTTTCGGACAAAACAAGAACAGCGCTCTGTCTGACTCGTGGGATGACCTCGCGCGGTCAGACCGCCTGTACTACATCGCTATCGTCATCCATTCGGCGGATCACTTCCTCGTTGACCAGCTCGCGGTCATCGTCCAGCTTGCGAAGCGACTCGGCACGCAGAATGTCTTCGTCTCAATGCTCGACTATTCATCGACCGACTCCACCGAAACACTGACCGATCTTTGCGAGGCTGTACTCACCCTCCTTGGCGTGCCATTTCGCATCCGTCGTGTTCCAGGAATGACTGTCGACCCCGCTGCTGCGTACTATCCTGCCGAGGAGGCGCACATGCGCAATCTTGCGCTCGAACCGCTACGCGAGCTTTACCAAAGAAGGGACGTCAAGTTCCACAGAGTCATCTGGCTCAAGGGCTTCACCTGTCCCAATGACATCCTCGAGACAATCAAAGTCAGTCTTGCGAATGACGCGGCGATGGTGTGCGGGATGGACTGGGCAGAACATAATGGATTTTATATCTTCTCTGACCGGTGAGTCTGTATATACCTATTTCCGTTTTTCGAAAATCACTGATATCTGGCCAATGCAGATGGAGGACAAGAGATATCGACGGAGACCAATTCCGTCAGTCAAAGTCGTCCTCCAAGCCCGATGCCGGCCCGCCGCGCGACAAGGTCGGTAGCGAGCGCTACGCACAACACCTTCCCTTCCAAGTCTTCTGCTGCGAGTCTGGGACGCACGTCGTCGACCCTGCGCAGAGCTACTACGAGGGCATTTCGTATCGGTATGGCGAGGATTTCTTCAACGCAACGGAGGCCGTCTTGGGCGGACCGCCCCAACGTGATCCCGCCGCGCCGTGCCTCGATTCCAGTCAGGCGTACTTCTGCCGGGATCTATGGGTTCATCAGGCGCAGGAGGGCATGCGCGACGTCGACGCGGAGATTGAGGCTGCGCGTAGGAAGGATAGAAGCCGGAATAACGGCAAGAAGGCCAAGGCAAGGAGACAGGTTGAACAGGTGGATGAGGAACTGTTGATGGACGGGGAGCCGGATGCAGCGCCCATCGAGAAAAAGCCATTTGTGAAGCCGGAGCAGAAAGTGGGCGGCGTTGTGGGCGGCGGGGAAGGGGACACTGACGAGGTCAGGGAGGATGCGGCGGATTTGCGGAAGGATAAGCAAGCACATGAAGATGCGAATGTCGGCTCCGACTTCGATGCCATGCCTGAAACCGAAGATGAGGACGCCACGGAGGGCGAAGGGGACGAAGATGAGTGGGAGGAATACCAGGGCAAGCTCAGTATCCCGAACAACGTCTTCAGGCCCGCGAGGATACTGGTCAATCCGCGATGTGTTACGACCTACGCGGGAGTGAGTCATACACAACTTGCTCTCGACTTGTTTGGAGGACCGGAGGAGCAAGACGAAGGCGGCCTGAGTAGGGGTAAGTATGTGCTTGAGGACTGGGAAGGCGCGCCTAGTTCTTTCGTATGCCAGGAACAGAGGTGCGTTTCCTCAGTTGTACGTAGGTGATGTGAAGATCCGCTGACCAGGGACATCCAGGTCCACCGGAGGGAGAAAAGCAACAAAGACACAGCGCCGGCTTGGTTTCTCGATCCATGAAGAGCTGGAGAAGGCATCGTCTATTCACGAGGAATGATTGATCGGGCATCTTGGTACGCGAGGGTCTATATAAGAGACTCGTCTGACTCTTTCAGTGACATTTGAATGTTGGGGCATAGACGGAATAACAACCAAGTCCCTCAGGGTGCTATGTGTGGATGGGTGCCGCGTATCATAACATTCATTAGTATCGTTTCTTGCCGTCGCTATCGTGGATTCCTGGGTATACTACTTGTACAGATTGTTACTCTTGCATAGGCCCCCTTGGGATGCACATGCATGGCTGTTCATTCCGCATCCATTGCAAGTCGTCCAATGCCAGGAAGACATGCGGGAGTACTACACAGGTGCTGCGTCGTTTCCTGTCTTGAACGTGGGACAGCGGCTAGGTGATCGTTTCTACTGAGTGGTCGATCACCGATAGCAAGCTTGGACGCGAGGGTTTGGGCAATTATGCCGTACAATTCGTGAGGCATCACCGGGGATGGACGCTCGACTCAAGCAGATCGTCGATAACATATAATACAACACAAAATTCACTGGGTCTGTGCGCCGTAACCACGAATGCCTTCCGCGAACGACCACTGAGTATCGAGACTCCGTGATTCCGAAATGGATACGCCTTTCGCAGTGATGGTAGCAACTTGGTACTGCACGGAGAGATGACATCAGCGAACGACTACGCGAAAAAGTATGTAGAATAATTACCTTGTTCAAGCTGCGGGCGTCACGGTAGAATAGGACACGCATACTGTCTTCGATGATCTTGAGCGCCTCCTCCTCCGTTAAATCATCTTCTTTGCCTTCCACGGCCTTGCGAAGTAAGGGTTGCGCTATATAGGAGCCGTACCCAGTTGCAAGGGTTGAAGCCGAGTACGTAGTTCCAAGCAGATCAACATATGCCAGAAACCTGACCAAGCAGTTGAAAACGCGGGAACTACAGGCCGTGATATTTGACTATACGTTACCTCTTGCCATCCTTGAACCCACCAACGAGCAACGAGTTCCAGAGCGGGTTGATCTTGCTGCGGCGCGCGTACATAACTTGAGCCAAGTATTCGTGAATCTCTGCTGGGCCGAGGTCATGGCCGTCGCCAGCCGTGAACTCCTCGATGACGAGATCATCGAGGATGGATTGGATGTATTGGAAGTCGGACATGTCTCCGCCGGCGCCAAGAACGGTGTAGTTGCCTATGGAGTGTAGACGTTGGACATCCTTGAACCGAGCAAGAGAACCGTATGATGCTTTCATAGTTCGACTCGTGTCAGCAGAATGGTAGAAGGTATCAGTGAGATCATACCAAGGTTGTCGGCAGCCATCATAATGCCATCCTTGTATTTGATAGCAAGCACACTGGTGCCAGTTACTATGGGCTGTCTGTAGCAGCAGTTATTACATATGCCATAAGAGCAGGCGACATGACACGCACTGAGTCCGCTGAACGCCATCCGCGAATACATCCTTGTGGCCATTCTGGGGTCGCTGGTGGATTGGGTACGTTGCGTATGCGTCGAAACCATCGTGGCGCTGTACCCCTGTCAATCAAGGACAGCAAAAGAGTTCCGTCCATGACCTACCGGGCGTCCCCAGTTCGTTGGAAAGTGGTCCATAGCTGTCGGATTACAGGAGATGCGTAGCCCTTGGACGCGCAAGCGCGACGCGTTTACGCACCTCCTATGTTTCCCACGCTCTCCTCGCCAATATATGCTTAGACGCGATACGAAGAATAAAAGCAACAGCAAGAAAATTACTACTTGAGTATGGGGCGTACTGTACATATTGATGCAATTATTCTTGCGGAAGTACCTTCTGCAATGACTGCAAGATATGTATACATGGAAGCTGACGGGCATCTCAGGCTCGACGATCTGCATACGGCGGCGGAAGTTCAGGAAGTGCTCCCCCATCCTGGTGTTGGATCACTGGACCTTCCGCAAGTGAATCGTCCAGGATTGGCTCCAAGCTTTGTTGCCGAGGTCGGGTAGGGCGTACTGAGCTCGGCAACGCGGAGGCTGATCGCGCCGGAGGACGGATGGGCTCGGAAGAAGACCCTATTCCCAGCGCAGTCGCAGAACGTGCTGGCCTGCGGGCATTCGCTTCCAAAGCTTTGCGCTGCCGAGTACTCATCGTCAGCGGGGATGGCGAGTTCACGGACGTGGTGCGTCTGGGAAGCACCGGAGACGGGGCAAGCGAACCACCATCGGAAAGCGTGGCGAGAGTGGACCGGGAGGTGGTGATGGAAGGACGTGCCATCAGGTCCAGTGGACCGGATATCACGGACGACGATGGAGAATGGAGGCTTTGTGGGGTCGAGTACAGCCCGCCTGTTATGGCCACCATCTGCGCTGGCGAAAAGTCGGTACTGAGTGACACTGGAAGCACCACCGGGGTTACAAGCTTTTCGAAGCCCCTGTTTCCACCAAACTGCTTTTCGGAGTCTGACGTCTGTCCCAGCGCCCGTCGGCGCCTATACCACCACCAAGCCCCTACAGCACCAAACAGAGCCAGGAGAGGTAGTGTGATCCCCAAACCGAGAGCAAGGGATCGATGCTGATGTTGACCCTCCCCCGCTTCTAATTGTTGTGCCTGGGTTGCAGACAGAGATTGTGTAATCAGGCCTGCGCAATCGTTGTCACGCGATCCTGTCGTCAGGACCCATGGCGTGCCGGATCCGAAGTTCCCGTTACTGTAGGAGAATACAATCAGACAACATTCATGCAGTGAGCGGGGCATCGTACGCATCGACCACCACAGCCGCGACGTTCACGTCTGGCGGAGTTCGGTTGATGTACTGAAGCAACGTGTCCCCCGTGCTCATCGTCACGTTCGTGACGCCAGTACCTGCCGCAATAAGGCTGACATTGAAGGCTGTGTACGGTTGGCCATAGGGCGTGAGTTTAGCCCGCTAAACCATAGCAGTTTGAACGCACGACCGGCTCCATTGGCCACAATATCCAGATCCCACGCCTCGCACGTCTTCAACTTGTGACCGTCTGAGATTTTTGAACTTATCTGGACTTGCGGGGTGGAGGGAGGAGGAGGAATGCAGCTGCTCGAGTGCCCAGACTGCACGGTATACATGGCGGAACCTACTCCGCCTGTATTTCCAAGCGAGTCCCAAACTGCTAGAAGCAATTTCGTCCCTGCAGGCATGCGTCGGTATCACGCATGCAAGTCGTCACGGCAGTTTGACGCACCAGCTTTGTGTGTCACAGTCCACGTCAGATTGCTGGAATTAGTGCCAATCATCTGTGTCGTAGGTGTTCCGCCGATCTCCGCTGCGGTGAGGTAGTACGGGGGTGTACCAAGGTAATACGGTTTAGGGTCGCTCGAGTTCAGAGGCAGTAGTGAAATGCCCCGGGATGAGCACTCGAATAACTGAGTGGATACCGACTAATAAAACATCAGAACGACTCGAGGAGGAATTGAATGACGTTGGATAAGCGCACTTTATCTGAGAATCCCCAGTGGAACGGCACAGGCACGATGGTGTTGTCCGCCCACGTCCAACCCACCCAGAGAATCGTCCATAGTACAAAATGAAGTATAGCCCGCATCGAGATTACAACAGCCCCGGATTCGAACTGCCCGCAGAATACGCGCCACAGAGGCCAGAAAAGATAGAATGAGAGTTATCAACAGCTCAGCCCAAGGAATTGAAAGACTAGAGAAAGAGCGAAGGTAACATCCAGTGTTGCGAGAAGGAAGGGAATGCGGGAAACGTCCAAGGAAGAGAGCAAGGTGCGGATGCTCGGTCAGGTCCGCGACACACGGCACAAAGCTGTTGGATCAGACCCAGATCAAGCCCCTTTACAACCGCCTGAGTAGTAAGGGATGCATAGAGACAAACACCGCTGGCTGGGTCGACACCGCTTCACTGCATGGCTGATCGGAATCATCAGATGATGTAGGTTGCAAGCGCGCCGCAGTACATGTACACGCAACTACGATGACCACCGTGACGACCATACCATTATTGAGCTCGAGCTTCTCTCTCCACGTAGTATTAGCCCGAGGTTTCAATTTCGGCAATCGCAACGGATGCGGTCACAGTTAAACAACTTGGATCGACTCCGGCTTCACGACGATCACCGTGACTTGCAGATCTCTTTGCTAAGTGAGATTGTGATGGTGGCCCTGGGGGCAGTGTAAACGCTCTGTGATTTTTCGTCGGGTCCAGGATGTTCGTGTATTACATCGACCGCGAAGGTAGTCGGCATGTACACTATATATGTGTTTAAGGTAGGCAGGTATTAGGTAGATTGCCGACGTGATCCCGGTAGCGGAACAGCCCGCTGCACGTACGCCACTCGTACATGCGACAGCGTGCCAGGCAGCTCGACGGGTTTTTCCTAAGGTGAGCTCAATACCAGATCGTTGTTGCGAAGCTCTGGTCTCAATATACTTCATTGCATATTATGTTAGCTTGCCAAGAGCCCCCGCTGAATTTGGGCTGATACACGCCTCCCTCCAAGCTATCTTATGCATTTGTCTGGCCTATCGAGCGCGGCTGCAGCCTTATGCTTGTTCCTACGCTGAACAGGAGAATGGTTATCTGCACGCTTCGCGGAGGCGCTATCGACAGTGCTCCGATGTTCTGATGTCACCGTTGGACCATTAACAGGCCGGGCACGGCTCTCGACAAATGCTTGTAGCTATGAGCGATGGACAATATCAAATATCAGTTTAGCTGGTTACGTGATGGAACGCTCTGACTCTGAGTCAAGTCATATCAACGTACGATTTGAGTACATGTACAATCCAACTATTCAACGGATCAAAGAAGATACCTAAGGCTTCAGAACGCTATAGCTTTGGTCTCTGTGACTACATATTGGTATCGCCGCCGTTGGCAGCGGAAATGCTCTAATTTGCGGTATGTTTCATGGTATTGAGGCGAGTGCGGTGAGAATCCATGACAAAGAAGTCATGTGCCTCTTTCCTGTCCAGGCTCGACTCGCCCCTGCGGCAGGAGGGCCCAGCGCCGACGGCGACGACCGCAACTCGTGTTCCTCAACGACGACCAGCACCGGTTGCAACCACAACGGACACCCTCGCCTAATTATTCCACTATTTCCGGCGGTTTTCTTGCCCGGACCAGCTTCAACAAGCAATATCGCGGCTACTCATCATGGAGTCCGTGCTGTCTAGCAGGACGCCTTCGCTGACTCCGTCACGGTCGCCGACACCAATGCAGCCAGTGCAACCAGACCACTTCTACGGTTCTGACATACAACTCCCCCTCTCTCCTCAATCGAATGGCAAAACGTGGCTTGATCCGGCAGACGATCCGCTTGCACAGCGTGGGATCCCCGTCTTCAAGCCGACCATGGCTGAGTTCCGGGATTTCGAGGGATACATGAAGGCCATTGAGTGCTGGGGTATGCGCAGCGGGATTGTGAAAGTGATACCACCGCAGGAATGGTGCGTCGCGTTTCGCGGTATCTACTGACGTTATACTCTCGTTAATCTCGGTCGTGTTTATCATGTGATCCCTATAGGCGAGATTCACTGCCGCCGGTCGAGCCACAACTCGCTAATGTTGAAATCAAGAATCCCATCGAGCAGAACATGCTCGGAGGGGGTGGGCTCTTCAGGCAAACCAACGTAGGACGTCGCAAGATGATGACGGTTAAAGAATGGTTCGAATACTGTTCGAAAGACGAGTACCGCGCGCCCGGGGTTGAAGAGATCGGGCCGTATAGCGCTCATCGCACCACAAGGACCTCGGGAAGAACCACTCGGAGGGGCAGGACAGCTAAGGCTGAACCCCAGGAACCGGTCGTCAAAGACGAGCCCATGGATGACAGCGCGTCTGCTTTGCTCTCCCCGCCCCGTAGCACCCGAAATCTATCGACGCCAGCCGTTGCTGACGAAGAAGTGGCAATTTTGGATAACCCTCCTCCCGAATTCTCCCCGCCATCCGCAGAAACGAAGAAGAAAGCTCGAGCACGTCGCGCAGCCAAGAATAAGGAAGCTAAGGATGCCGAACATGCTGCCAAAATGGCAGCCAACGCCGAGTTCGTCAAATCATTCAGCGCTCACAAGGACTGGCTTCCGCCCAAGACTAGCCCTGAGTCGTATACACCAGAGTTCTGCCGGGAGCTCGAGCGGCATTACTGGCGGAACCTCGGTTTGGGAAAGCCTGCATGGTACGGGGCGGACACCGCTGGCTCCCTCTTCACAGACCAGACTACGTCCTGGAATGTGGCACACCTGCCTTCCCTACTGACCCGACTCTTGCCCGCTTCCTCGAAAGGCTTACCCGGTGTGAACACTCCATACCTCTATTTCGGCATGTGGCGCGCTACGTTTGCTTGGCACGTCGAGGATATGGACCTTTTCAGCATCAACTACATACATTTTGGCGCAGGAAAACATTGGTACGCTATTCCCCAAGGCCGCGCATCAGCGCTGGAGCAGACCATGAAAGGTCTGTTAGCGTCCTTCATCATTGGGCCTAGTTTCCGTATTGATCGAATTCTGCAGGGTTCTTTCCGAAAGATATATCACAGTGTCCGCAGTTCCTTCGTCACAAGTCTTATCTAGCCTCTCCTAAGACTCTAGCTGGAGCGTTGTGCAAACCTAACACTCTAGTACAACATGCCGGCGAATTCGTCATCACGTACCCGAGAGGTTACCATGCCGGTTTCAATCTTGGATTCAACTGCGCGGAGAGCGTGAATTTTGCTTTGGACAGTTGGGTTGATCTTGCAAGGAAGGCGCAGGTTTGTAAATGTGTTGGTGACAGGTACGAATATTATTTCCGCCATAAGCATATTCATTGATTAAATCATGTTGCTTTGATTGCAGCGTATCGATCAATATCGACGAGCTCTTGCGAGAGCGGGAAGAAGAGCGAATTGAAGCCGCATTTATTCGTCATGACCAGAAGAACTCGAAAGAGAACGTTCGGCCTCGAGTTTCAGGCAGTGCGCCTCGCAAACGCAAGCCCGATGGCGAGGGGGGACCACCGAAGAAGAAGAAGAAAGTGACGGTCAAGGATGAGCAATTGGAAGTCGCCGCAGTTCCGAAGCCGAAGATCACTGTCAAGCTGAAGCTTGGCCCAAAGCCGGAGGAGGATTCATTCCCATGTTGTCTCTGCGTGTCGTCCAGCACGAGTGACCTGTTGAGGGTGCACGACCTACCTTTGCATGCCAAGGATGCCAGGTCAAACCATCCCTGGATGGCTCACGAACACTGTGCGAGCGTGGTACCTGAGACTTGGGTGGATGAGATAGAAGTTGGGGAACCTCGTGAAGATGGTACCAGGGCAACGGAACGTGTTGTATTCGGCGTGGACGGCATCGTCAAAGATCGCTGGAATCTGGTATGTCGTCGAAGAGCATACCGAGACACTCCCTCACCAAGTTTACGTAGAAATGCAGCGCGTGCACGAAACCTCGTGCGAAAGCCCACGGAGCCCCTATTCAATGCACGAAGGGCAAATGCTCTAAGGCCTTCCACGTGTCGTGTGCGCGACACGGCTCTGCTCAAGGCATCATATTCTCTGTCTTGCGAGAGGTTGAGAAAGAGGTCGTATTGCTGGGCGAAACCGTGATGGACGCACCCCCCACCGAGCTCGTATCAGCTCCCAGCACTGAGGGCGCCTCTGAGACACATTCGAGTACCGTCCCATCCGAGCCCGCGTCAAGTCCCCGTGTCCTCAAGGTCATCAAAAAGACAGAGGTACAGGTGCTCTGCTCACAACACAATCCTGTATGTGGCCAGTATCAAGTATATGGCAACTCCGCTGATATATATCCAGGCGAGGCTTGAGGCAAAGAAATCAGCTAAACAAGACAAGATGAAGAACCATCTTCTCGCCCTTGACCCGATGACGCGCATCAAGATTCGGGTTAGCGCTGGCGTCTTCGAGGTGTCTCTAATCCGTGTCATATCAGAAACAGGCAGCGTAGAAGTGCTATGGGACAAGGGTGTTAAGCGTGAATTCAAGTGGAGTAGTGTTATATTAGGCAACACACCCGAAGGCGTGCCGGTTGGGCAGATGCCCAAAGACCCTGCTCCCGAGAATCGTCAGTTGTCCTCTCCTCATCCGCACGGCACTATACTGATCGGACCCGCTTAGTTTTCACTCCAAGGCATGCGACTCTGGCGCCCGCGCCTTCAATATCGTTGACGGAGCCCATCATGCCAACCGCGGCCCAATGGGACGCGCTATTCTCCTACCAGCGGCAGAAAAACCTAGCTTTGTGGCCAACGACCAGCCTCCAACAGGGGACGCAGATGATTTGGCCCTCTCAAGCTCAACTACAAGCAGCTATGGCCGCCTTGTCGAAGATGGAACAATCACCGCCTTCGGGTGCACCGAGCTCGCCCGCTGTCACCACTCAACCGGAACATTTCCGGCCGCCTACCCAGATCCCGCCTCTGCCACCCACTCAGGTGCCATCTGGATTACCGTCCGCTTTTCCCATTGGGGTGCCCGGGCAACCTTACGTAGGATACCCGGCCACAGCGTATCAGGCGTTAACCGGGACTAATGGCGATTGTCAGTCGTATGGCCCGCCAGCTGCGGGCGCAGTCGTCCCACGAAGTCAATATCCCAACGGGCAGATCACCTGGCAGCAACCGTATGCGGGGCCGCCACAGAAACATGGTTTCAGGACGGGTTGTACAACACCGGCGCCCTTAGATCCGCCAAGCAGAGCCTCCTCGACGATACCGGGTAGTATGGCAACTGGAGCTTCGTCTTACCCATCTTTGACTCCGTCGGCCAGTGGAGCGGTGATGCCCTCCACAGGGACATTATCCTATTCCCAGCTTGCGTCAATGGCTGCTGTAACCTCGAATTCTCCTCACAATCAGCCATGACTGGCGATCATTCGTCTTCCGTGATTCTTACGTACCTTGCATTCCGTCTGGTGTATTCCTACACGTTGTTTATTCACTTCGGACAAATCGCTTCACCTTACGATCGACTATTGTGTGTACTGCTCTCTGGAACTCGTTCCCTATGAATACTTATGTACTTATGTATATAATCGAATGACGCGAAATGACTCGATCGCGATTCATGGATCGGAGGAATCAAGATCGACCAGTTCGGTGACTTCAACTTTCTCCTCCGACGTTCACAACGGCCATAGTCATGCCACCTCATCTCATGACACTGGCAGACCTCTCTACACCTGCAATCACTCGTGTACTCACTCATTCACATACTCTGAAGCAAGTTTCTTTGCCATGGTTGGCGCCTCAGCAAACGGGCAAATCCTCGCGCCGGAAGCCACTCAAGATGCCGTCTCAATCCTTGTTCAACAAGTCCATTGCCCTCCTTTTCTCGAAACGGAGCACGCGTACTCGCGTGAGCGCGGAGACGGCCGCTACGCTGCTCGGAGGAAGGGCGCTATTTTTGGGCAGGGATGATATTCAACTGGGTGTGAACGAGTCTGCCCGCGATACGGCTCGTGTCATCGGAGGAATGTGTCAAGGCATCTTCGCTCGCGTAGGGGACCATGCAGAAATCGAGGTGCTGTTTTCTGCGTACTATAACAAGGCTGAAAACGCGCTCAACATACGCCTCCAGGAATTGGCACGATATTCCCCGGTGCCCGTGCTCAATGCTCTGTCCTCTCTCTGGCATCCGACCCAGATTCTCGCGGACTTGCTGACGTTGCATGAACATGCTCATCTGTTCACCTCTGATGCGCCAGCACCGGAAACTGCCGTTGAAGGAAAGGGTGCCTACAAACCGCTCCCTGAATTGCGACCTCTCACCATTACATGGCTGGGCGATTCAACCAACATCTTGCATGATATGCTTGTGACTTATCCGCGATTCGGCCACAAGGCAAGCGTAGTGCAGTGTCCCGCATGTGTCTGTTGTTGACACCGTATCCACAGATCCGTGTTGCTACACCCGCTCAGCTCGCCTACCAGTGCCCTACCCCAGTTTGGGATCGCGTCAAGGAGCTCGGGTGCGACAAGGACATCTGGTGGGGTAGTGATCCTCGCGAAGCTGTCCACGGTGCAGATGTTGTCGTTACTGATACATGGCGAGTCCGCAAGTCAGATTTTGCCGGGGCTCGGTGCTCACGCATTCCGAAGGATATCCATGGGACAAGAGGCTGAGAAGGCCCAGCGCTTGAAGGACTTCCAAGGGTATCAGGTATGGAAAACATTTCACTGCGTACATGGTCCGCAATAATCGTCCTTCGACAGGTTACCGAAGCTCTCTGTAAGGAGGGCGGTGCCAAATCCGGCTGGAAATTCCTTCACTGTCTGCCGCGGAAGCCTGACGAAGTCGACGACGAGGTTATATTTTTACATGCGCGATACACCGGCACCTCACTACATCATGCTGATTTCTGAACAGGTATTCTACGGCCCGCGGTCGCTTGTTTTCCCTGAGGCGGACAACCGCAAATGGACCATCATGGCCGCCTTCGAGTGCGTAGTACACACGATCGCTCACGACTTCCAACGCATTGACTTAAAATGCTCCCTCAGCTTACTCTTCGGCAAATGGAACCTTCACGGTACAGAGGCCACCCAGAGCGAAGCTTGAAACGGATTTGTATCCTCATCTACGTGCTCGAACACGATCCGAGAATCCACCAATTCAAAATTACCTTAGAAATCTGCTATCCTACCAATGTACATACTTTTCGACACTCTAGTCATGCTCGGTGTTACAAATAAAATGCCTAATGCGAAAAGACCGAGCGGCCGCTGAGCGTCTTGTAGACTGTAGATCATCTCCATACCCCGTCGGGCCGTGGCAGTGCTTGCTTCCTCTCATCATGTCTGTCCCATCTCACCTCTATCTACCCTTCGGGATAGCGTCGCTGCTCTCTCTGCACGGCCTCCGCAAACGCTCGCTCTCGCCCTCGGGCGCGTTTGCGGCCTTCCTCGTCGGATTCCTGACTTTTGCGCCGCCGTTGCGCGCCTTCGGCACGTCCCTGATTGTATTCTACCTCGTCGGTTCGCGTGCTACCAAGGTCGGCAAGGCGCTGAAGCGAAGCTACGAAGAGGGCTACGAAGATGCGGGGTACCGGGACTGGATGCAGGTCTTGTGTAACTCCGGGAGTGCGCTGGTGTGCGCGACGGTCTGGGCGAGCTCTTTCGCTCCGGGATGGCTGGGAGGGTTATCAGACCCATTGGGCAGGGTAATCGGGGTGAAGCCGGGGAAGGTCGCGTACAAGCCGGAGGAGTGGTGTCCTGTTAGTTCCGACGTCGCAAATGGTCTTAGCAGGGCTTTGTTGTTCGGCACCCTAGGGTATGTAGACAGAGTGGTTTTTTCGCGGATGTTATGTATGTTCACTGTGTGCTCTCCGCCCAGCTAGGCATTTTGCGTGTTGCCTCGGGGATACGCTCGCGTCTGAGCTTGGTATCCTCTCGAAGTCGCGCCCGAGGCTCGTAACCACGTTCAAGGCACTTCTGTTTCACCCAGTGCGCGAACAATTGAACTAACATTTCTGCACCAGTCGGTTCCTCCCGGTACGAATGGTGCTATGTCTACGATGGGCACCCTCGCGTCGGTGGCAGGCGGATCGATCATGGGTCTCACACTGCTGGCGTCGATGCTGATCGAAGTGCCTGCTTGCCGGCGGGGTTGGACCACTCATGCAACTCAGTTGCTCACATGGGGCTTTCTCGCCGGGGGCTTGGGGAGCCTTGTACGCGGTTTCATATCGTTGTCGATGGCCATTCCAAGTGAGCGCTGATACGTCGTTCTAGATGGACTCTTTCCTGGGGGCCACAGTGCAGCGCACGCGCTACTCCAAGTCGCTGAACAAGATCCTGTCGGACCACTCCAAACTCGCGAAGACTTCCTCGGACGACGTCAAAGTCGTCAGCGGGATTGGCCTCTTGACGAATAACCAGGTGATGTCGATCATTTCCTCGCTACTTCTGTTACTGATGATGCGTCGTAAGGTCAATCTCGTCTCGTCTTTGCTCACGTCCCTCGTGCTAGCAAAGCTAGCCTGAGTTGATATTAGGAAGATGTGCCGGAGAAGATCCGGGCGACTGCCTTAGCCGGTCGCATGAACCGATCTTCTGACTTGCATGAGCATCTTCTTAACTCACGAGTAGTTGCCGGTGCATAATCCTCAGGAACAGCAGTGACATATACTTATGAGACAGTTTACGGTTGCATTTTTCTTGGCTCTGAAGTCTGGGGTGAGAATATTCGCGGCGGTCTCCTTGGGAGGTTTCCCGCTCGGGAGCTCCGCACACGGACCGGAGGAGCAGGAACGTGCCATGGGGGTGATGATGACGTGCCGTTGAGCGTGCGTCGGGAGACGTGCAGAGCCCTACATGTTGCCCGGGCACGCTCCCTTAGGGCAAGAGATGGTCGAGATAGTTGCAAGATACGGGAATACACCGAGCCGCGCGGGATCCCGGGTGAGCTTCGCGAACGGATACGAGCATTCCCCACGGGGCAAACCGCCGCTCTCATCCACGATCGGGTAAATCACGTGGGTTTCCCGACGTCATCGACACACCCGGACGCGTATACGGTATATCTCTCAATCAACTCGCCCACCACGTACCCCATCCTCGCCGTCGCACTTCACCATGTCCGATCAAAAGCGCGACGTTCGCAATCCCCTCCTCTTCGAGTGCGCCTGGGAGGTCGCCAACAAGGTCGGCGGCATCTACACCGTCATCAAAACGAAGGTCCCCGTCACCGTCCAGGAATTCGGCGACAGATACTGCCTCATCGGCCCGCTCAGCTACAAGACCGCCCCCATGGAGGTCGAGGCCGAGGAGCCCTCCGATCCGGATGTCGCTGCGACGCTCGAATCCATGCGTGCGCAGGGTGTCAAAATTCTCTACGGCCGATGGTTGATCGAAGGAGCGCCGCACGTCCTCTTGTTTGATACGGGCAGCGTGTACTCGAGGTTGGACGAGTGGAAGGGAGACCTCTGGAATCTCGCAGGGATTCCGACCCCACCGAACGATCACGAAACGAACGAGACTATCGTCTTTGGTTATCTCGTAGCGTGGTTCCTTGGCGAAGTAAGTCCGTTGTTAGACGAGACTGGGACGCGCATTTATCCAATCCAACTTCCCAGTATGTCGCTCGTCAGCGGCACACTGCCGTCATCGCTCATTTTCACGAGTGGCAAGCTGGCCTAGCGATCCCACTTTGCCGCAAGCGGCAGATCGACGTAACAACCGTCTTCACTACCCACGCTACCCTTCTGGGCAGGTACCTATGTGCCGGCTCCGTCGACTTCTATAATAACCTGCAATACTTCGATGTCGACCATGAAGCGGGCAAGCGTGGCATTTACCATCGCTACTGCATCGAGCGATCCTCCGCTCATTGCGCTGATGTCTTCACGACCGTCTCGCATATCACGGCTTACGAATCCGAGCATTTACTCAAGCGCAAGCCCGATGGGGTACTTCCTAACGGTCTCAACGTCGTCAAGTTCCAAGCCATGCACGAATTCCAGAATTTGCATTCAACCGCGAAAGCAAAGATTAACGAGTTCGTCCGCGGCCACTTCTATGGCCATTACGACTTCGATATCGACAACACTTTATATGTAAGTTGGAACCAACCCCCGAACACCTCCGCCAGCGCTCATCTTGTATACCAAGTTCTTTACGGCCGGGCGTTATGAGTACCGCAACAAGGGCGTCGACATGTTCATCGAGGCGCTGGCCCGTAAGCACATTCAACTCCGTCTGATCCGACCATGCTCCCTGATACCCTCATCGCAGGTCTGAATTTCCGACTTCAGAAAGCAGGGTCGAAGACTACCGTCGTGGCATTCATCATCATGCCTGCTGCAACAGCGTCATACACCATCGAGTCTCTCAAAGGTCAGGCTGTCACCAAGCAGCTGCAGAGCACCGTGAACGAGATCACGACTCGGATCGGTCAGCGCCTTTTCGAACATGCGGCGCGCTCCAACGGGTATGTACCTCGAGCAATCACTCGATCTCTGAGCTCATGAAGACCGGCAGGGATCATGGCACGAACCCCCTCCCCGACGACCTCCTTTCCGAGGAAGACAAAGTTACTCTTAAGCGCCGTATCTTTGCTCTCAAACGCAATGCCCTCCCGCCAATCGTCACTCACAACATGGTGGATGACGCCAACGACCCGATCCTGAATCAACTCCGCAGGGTAAAGTTATTCAACGCTTCCTACGATCGAGTCAAGATTGTCTTCCATCCCGACTTCTTGAACTCCAACAACCCTATCCTAGGTCTCGATTACGAGGAGTTTGTACGTGGTTGCCATCTAGGAGTTTTTCCGAGTTACTACGAGCCCTGGGGCTACACCCCCGCGGAGTGCACCGTAGTACGTACAAGCCAATCGCAGGGGAATAACTTTCTGAAACTCTACGTAGATGGGTATTCCTTCCGTCACCACCAATCTCTCTGGGTTCGGCTGCTTTATGCAAGATCTCATCGATCGACCGCAAGATGAAGGTTGCTATATCGTTGACCGTCGCTCTCGGTCCGTGGAAGAGTCAGTTACGGAATTGACGGAGAATATGTTCTCCTTCTGCAACAAGACACGTCGGCAGCGCATCAACCAGCGTAACCGCGTCGAGCGGCTTTCGCCTCTCCTCGACTGGAAAAACCTCGGAATCGAGTACTCTAAGGCGCGCCAGCTCGCTGTTCGCCGTGCGTATCCCGATGCATTCTACGGGAGCGCGGAGGGCGACGACGAATTCTACTTTACGGGAGCACAGAAGATCGATCCCATCAGCGTGCCGGCCAGTCCGAGGTTCCGGGGCTTTGGAGGACTGGCTACCCCTGGGGATCTTGGGACGCTCACGGAAGAGGTAAAATTCGTTTCTTGGATGGTCCCTGGACGCATACTAATCATAGGTCGGATAGATGCAGCGCTTGGCCACGAGCGATTACAATGGTGGCGGTTATCAGTGGCCTGGCGGCGAAGAGGAAGAAGATTCGTACCCATTGTGAGTTCATTCAGAAGTGCTCGCAATCGCTTGTCGTCGCTCACTCTGCTCGTGCTTGCAGCCCGTTGGTCATGAAAGTTCGCTCGCGCGCGTCGTCCATCATGTCCGGTGCCAGCACACCAGGTGGCGGCGCCTTCCGCAGCCTGAACGAGCACGACCTGCGAAAGGCAGACGCGGCTCTTTCGCATGTGCAGGTTGATGCGGCTCTCGCGGAAGCCCACGGCGTTAATACCTCCGAGAATGGGTCCAACGCGCATGCAAACGGTGTCAACGGTACATCATGAAAGGTATGGTTTTGATAGTTTATGCCACACATGTCGATCCTCAAAGGTGATCTTGCGATATTTAGCATTAGTGCTCGTCCGTCTCCGAGATAGGTAACGACCATGCATGTAGTAGAAAACTTGACGAATGGAACATGAATGCAAGACACGCTGCGTTGAACTGCGTACCGCGGAAAACTGAGATGTCCTGCCTTTGAAGCGTGGCAGCCTGCGGAACAGCTGTGTAAGGTCGAGCTTGAGGATGACGCGGGCGGTAGCAGTGGCACGACGCACGTCAGGCGCAAACGAGTGGGATCCGGTGATATAGCAAAAGACTGTAGATACAGGCAAAACGGCGTGTAATATATAGAATTTCGAGATGTCTTAGGGGCCCGAGATAATCATATCTGAGGGCCTCAGACGCCCTGGGTGGAGGTGCACGTGTGATTAGCCTAGACGTGCCCAATAGGGCATGGCAGATCTTTTATTGCTTGCCGTGGCAGAACCGCAGCCGGTACAATCGTAGTCTACACGGATTACTTCTTCAGGTATTCAACCCACTTATTGGTCTCCTCGAGCGTGTGGCTGGGCTCGGGGGCGTATTTCGAAGTCTTCTGTATTTTCTCGCACCAGTTGTCCTCGAGAGCGATCACATTCTCAAACCAGATGGGAAGTGTCCACTTGTTAGCAAACACGCGCCCTTTGGTGGCCACCCATGTGCCGAGCTCAGTAATCTTCTCGGTGTAATGCTTGACCAAAAATACCACATACCAGTTCCCTGGTTTCTCAGCTTGCCTCATGGCTTGCTCAAGTCCCACTGCACCGGGGATGATGATCTGCTTCTTGATAGCTGATATCTTGGCCCTCAACAGGTGATACTGGATTTCCCCAGCCCTGCCCTTCCTTTGGTAGGTCTCCCCTCCTCCTGAGAAGGATCCAAGAGACGCGGGTAATGACATCGGGCGGCTGTTGGAGTCAGGCACTCACTGTGTGAAGTTGCCCTTGGAGGGTGCAGGAGCGCTGTATTCAGGCGGCAAAGGCCATCATACTTTCAAGATAGGTGATGCGCTCGGAGAGTCTCGTGATGTTGCGAGCCATATGCGGCAAGTTAATCACCGGTGGCGGATAAGGCACAAGACAAGTGTTGAAGTTCTTGTTGGGGCGAAACATGGTCTCAAGATTGAGTGTTTGTTGACGTAGAGTATGTGGTTATGAGTCCAGCAGCTGTTCACTAGGCTTGACGATGTTAGGTAGATGATAGCGCACTTTTATACCAGTGGGCCCTACGGCCCAGAATATTTTCCCCTCCTTTCCAACAGGAGCGACACCATGAGGAGTTTCAATTGCACCTGAAGGTGCAGGAAGACCCACAATAGGTTCACAGTTCCTAGGGAGATCCTCCCATCGACTTATGCCTTGCGCTTCAAAGTACCTGTCAATTATTGCCAGGTCCTTTACGTTCTCCCATGGTTCCCATGAGCTATCTCCAAAAGTCCATCGAACAAGAAATAGGGTACTTTGTCTCTGCCACTCGTGAGCAACAATTTCTTCGGCCTCGTATTTAAAGTCATCCGGTGTCGAACTGTAGTGCTAGTATATAGTCACACAGTTGCCTAGGGTCCCAATCTATCTAAGTCAGGGGTGACCTAGTCGAATCAGGAGAAAGAAATGGGCCGCTTGAATGTATTCACATAAACAGAGAACTACGCTCTGTCCTTTTGTCTGTACTTGAAATCTGTTCCCACGCTTATGGGGAAGTCACTGAATATGTCGTTGGTCTTCTGGGAGCGTCTTGTCGCTCTATCTTCTGGAAGTGTCTTGTCGCCACAACCTATCCTATTTCCTATCTTCTGGAAGTGTCTTGTCGCTTCAACATATCCTATTTCATATATCGTATGTCCTGGAGTGATACTTAGATCTATTGTCAAGATCGAATACAGACCAGGGGTAACGGGGTCGGAGGACCGAAGTCCGAAATGTAAATACGTAGAATAGAGTGAAATAGAAGGAAGAAACTCAAGGGTAAAGTCGGAGCGGAGTCGGAGACGCGTCGGCGTGGAGTCGATAAGTTGGAAGCATTGGTAGAGTCGAGATCGGGTGCGGACCAAGCCTAAGCTCGTGCGCTAGGCTGCTACGCGCTCTGAGTCCGCAGGAGGAAGAGAGTAAAGCTTAGTTGATATTCGAACTGCCTATCTACGGTACAGTTCGACAGTTTATATGCATAAAAGAGAACAATGGCAAAAGTCGGAGAGTCGGAGATCGGAGGCGCCGTTCGGCGCACAAAGGGAACATACAGAGACGAGAGATAATGCATGGAACACAAAGGGAACATATCTACGGAAGAGGTGGAAAGATCAGACCAAAAGATCCGTCGCAAGCGACGGGAAACTAAAGTCTACAAAGGGAAGCTATGATGTCAGACAAAGGGAACAGGAAACAGGAAAGTCGGAGTTGAATCCGTTCAAGATCTGGAACCACCGGGGCGTTGAGCTGCCGGTGGCCTGGTGCATGTGATAGGCGTTGTCCTGCCCCTAAAGTGATTAGGTGCGAGACGCGTAGAATGCATGCGGGAAACACGAAGGTAGTCTATAGATAGCCACTCACAATTACTATAGAGTACAACTTGCGTGACTACAATCATAGTAGCCGATCCTTAGATATGCTAGTTTCTTTCCCAGTACTCAGAACTGACTCATATTAGTATTTAAATATTTTTTTGTAGCGTAATAGTTTTGTTTATGTACACATTTGACTGTCTACTACCCTATCATGATCACATAGCATGGATCAGACGGTCAGAGTAGTCTAAATACGCCTCAGAAAAAGGGAAAATATGTGGGCACTCAGACATGTTGCTATGGTATCACAGGGCTGTGTTGCAAGGCTGTGCTGATTAGTAAGCTTGCTGCGGATATTAGTAAGCATGCTGCGGCGCAGCAGGCGCTTAGTAAGCCTGTGATCTGATTGGATGGAGTGGTATGGGCCAAATTAGCATAAAAGGAGGGCATATGAGCCCTTCGAAGCAATCAATTCACTTTTACCCAGAATTCACTTTCACCTAGAATCAAAGATCGATCACAGGAGACTGTAGATCAGTCTCTATTAGTATTAAGCAGCAAGAGCAAGATTAAGAAGACATTTGAGTGTTGACTTAGGCAATAGATCTAAGTATCACTCCAGGACATACGTTATAGGAAATAGGATACGTTAAAGCGACAAGACGCTTTTGAGTGTTGACTTAGGCAATAGATCTAAGTATCACTCCAGGACATACGACATAGGAATTAGGAAGATATTTGAGTGTTGACTTAGGCAATAGATCTAAGTA